AAGCCACCGTTATGGAGATGAGTGTTTGCTTTAGTTGGAGCTCTTGACCCTTATATTTATACATCTTATATTTTAATTTGCTGTTGCATCGGAGTTATGTCTGTCAGCATGAACAAAGATAAAACAATTTATAAAATGATGTTGGTTATATAATGACTTTCATCATTTAAAACTATGTCTGTGATTTATTCTGTTGGTTAATGTACAACTGAGATTCTGCATTAACATCCAGAACATTAAATATAATATAATGGATTTCTCAAAGTTGTTTTAAACAAAAAAAACCCCTCTCTTTTAGGCACACACAGGACCTCAAGATTCGGTCAATGCTTCTCAACAACGGTGACGAGTAGAATATTCAAGTAGGAAAAGTTAATTACATAGACAATCAGATCATAATTTATTCATACCGCAATGCATGATGGGAGACATTAATGAGTTGTGATTGGTGGCAAAATGTCACCACGGTTGAGATAGACAGGCTGATTATTGATCTCTGTGTTTCTGAATAAAGATGCCAGTGATTTGATCAGATTAAATATTTTAGGTTAAAAGTAAAATACAGATATGCAGCAGAACCACAAAACTGTAGCTAACAAGTTAACCGAATCAACTGAATAAGTTTCATTTTTCAGATCATTGCATGATTATGTCAAAGCATAACCAACACTATCAGTTCACAGTTACCTGTGTTTATTTGACTGTTATAAATCAATATCAACAGGCAAACAAAATTTAAAGTGAAAGTATAAGTGTCAAAAGCCCAACTAAAGCAGACACTGATCTCCATAACGGTGGCTTACAATTTGTGATTTTGTCCTTCAGTGATTCTGCTTGTGATCATCAGGTGTCATCAATAATGCTCAATCATCACTAAATTAATCACTTAATTATCTAAATAACAGTAACACTCATATCGTCCATCTGAAAGCAGGTGAAGGTGATTTACTGCTAATCAAGGAACCGGCTTTACTGATTAGATGCGCATAACAATATCGTGCGATATATCGCCCAGCCCTACTCCTGGTGTGAATGCACTCATTGAACATGCAAGCCGAAAAAAAAATGCGTCGCTCATGCTTGTGGTGTAAATAAGGGGTGAAACGGCCGTAATTCACGAGGTTTCCTACATGTGCGTTCCGTGTGCACGAGTGATACTGCGGTGTTAATCATGTGGAGCCCGAATGCATTTGACCGGCATAAAATCAGCATGTCAGACTGACTGGCCAGTCCCGATCACGTTAAAATCGGCTCTTCAGTCTGTGCATCTCTAGTAAATATATAGGCTATAATCTGTAGACCTTATTAATAATGGCATGCGTTCGGCCAATCAGAGAACACTAACGTCACGGATAGTTCCTATAGTGCTGGTTAAGACCAACTCTGAAGGAGGAGTAAATTAGTTCCTCCGAAAGAGATCCTAGAACTAAAATTGTTCCTGCGGTGCGAACACGCCAAACCCCGGCTGCTTCCGCCAGAAGCTCGAGAAACTATGAAAGGGTTCCTCGGGTGTGAAGCTGCGGTGCCTTGTTGGGTCTGAGAGACCATTGTAAAGATTATCAAACCTCCAGAACTTCTCTCCTCTCCTGAATCACGGCCGGACTGCAGGTCTCCATCCGCACGGCTTCGGCCTCCTCCGACACATACGGCACCAGCTGGAGGAGAGCAGACGCACGATTGATCACATCGTCTTCAGCCATGAGATTCATCTTCATTAATACGTTTAATCTAACTGCATTATACTGATTAATACAGCTGGAAACAGAAGTCTGAGAGCAAAGTTTTACTCCATTTTAATAAGTTACAGATATTAGCAGAATAAGTAGAATAAACATAAAAATCACGAGTATCAAATATGAACATTAGTCTTTGAGGAAGGTCTCAGTCATCGTATTGCATTATATGTTTTAAACTACAGAGCTTTGATCAAAAAACTGAACATTTTCAATATCATTTTACTAAGACAGATAATATTTGATCTGCATCTGCAGCAAACTGCATACAAATTAAATCCATTCTTTGATTTTGATAAATGCTAAATGCTGATCATTTGAATGCAGATTGCATCTAAAACACTATACAATAATACAAATAGTCAACTAATATATAATTTCAATAATAATAATTAAAATAATATGTATTTGATTCTGAGGCTAATCAGATCAAGTGTTTATCAGAATGATCTGTCAAGTCCCTTCATTTAGAGTTTCACAGCAGCTTTACAGAGATAACAGGATATTACAGTCATGAAAGCAAACACACACACACACACACACACCTCACAGCAGCTTTACAGTAATAACAGGAGATTACAGTAACAGAGAGTGTTTAAGCTTACTGCAGATCTAGAATAAAGTTATTGTCCAGATAAAGTTAGTTTTGATTGATATTAACTCAGAGCCGCTAACACGACACCGCTCTACACATGTAACGTGTACCGGCCGCTCGTTCGCACAATGACAGTGTTTGAGCTCGATTGTGTGCATCAATCATCATGTTTGAGGGTCAAACTGACCTCGGCCGGAGACTCCTGGAGGTCAGGGGTCATCTCCACACAGCGCTCGTACAGCAGACGCAGCTTCCGGAAGAGGAGAGTCAGCTGACGCAGATGTTCCTGGAGCTTCCCGAAGCGATCCTGATACGCAGCCTGACTCTGCGTCACTCCGTTGGGAAGCTGAGGGAAACACGTCCAGTCTCCTTCATTTATACAGAGCTTTAACAGTGCAGATGATTCACAGCAGCTTTACAAAGATTACATTTTTGACTTTTTTAATGTCATAATTATGATTTTTTTACTGTTATAATGACATTTTCATAACAATTTTGATTAAAGGGATAGTTCACTTTGAAAATAACTTTTGATACGTTTTAGCTTACCTCAAGGGCATCCAAGATGTAGGTGTCTTTGTTTCCACAGTATTTTCAATTTTGACATTTTTCAGTCAAACCGTTCTTGTCTGCCAGTCATATATGCAGGTATGGGGTCCACATCAAAGAGAATGCACAGAGAAGTCAAAATTAAACATGATTTAATGACTCGTAAATGTAAGTACACATTGATGGCCTAAGACATGAAACGAGTGGTTTGTGTGAGAAAACGAACAGTATTTATATCGTTATTACCTCGTGTAATCACAGTCTCATCCAAGTGATCTGAATCAGTTGTGCAATGTCCAACTCATAGACTGTAAAGGTTCAATTGAACTGAACTGAATCATGTTCCGCCAGAAGTGATCGCTTGCGTGTGTACGTCACTCAATACTTACACGGAGATTTCGGAAGTTTTACCTTTTACTAAACATATTTAGATAAGATATACCGAAATCGTCTTCCATTGCGATTTCCCGTATATCTAAATATGTTTAGTGAGAGCTAAAACTTCCGAAATCTCTGTATAAACAAAGAGTGACGTAGGCGCGCAAGCGATCACTTCCGGCGCATGCGCAGACCGAAGCGCCATGCCGTCAGATCAGTTTGACATCGCTGTAATTACACAAGGTAAAAACGATATAAATACTGTTCGTTTTCTCACACAAACTGCTCGTTTCGTGTCTTAGGCCATCAATGTGTACTTACATTCACGAGTCATTCAATCATGTTTAATTTTGACTTCTCTGTGTATGCTCTGAGGTGAACCCATGGTGGACCCCCTTAACCTCCAGTGTATGACTGATAGACAACAACAGTTTTACTGAAAAATATCAAAATTGAAAATACTGTGGAAACAAAGACACCTACATCTTGGATGCTCTTGAGGTAAGCTAAAACATATCAAAAATTAATTTCAAAGTGAACTATCCCTTTAAGTATCAATTGTGCTTTTATATGTCAGAATTATGAGCATTATGTGTCATAATTTCAACAAGTAGTTCAGATTTTTCGGTCTCTGGTGAGGGTGAGTCTCAGGTAGGGCTGTGTATTGGCAAGAATCTGGCGATACGATACATATCACGATACATGGGTCACGATTCAATATATTGCAATATATTTCGATACTGTCCATAAGGCGATATATTGGGATTATTTTTTTTAAGTAGGACTATAATTTTAGAAAAAGTAATATTTAAAAAAAAAACATGATGTGAATTAAAGTCAAACAAGTTTACTTTAGGTAAACAATTCAGTACTCAGAAAATCAAACTACCAGTTTGGGACAGGTTCATTTCAAAAACTTTGGTTAAATGTGTTTTTAGAAGTTGGTCATAAACTTTATAGACTTAGGGGGTCGCACACCGGACAAGCGCAGCGCCGCGCCATATATAGGAAAACTCCAGGTATCGCACACCAGACAACAACGGTTTCTCATCAGTGTTTGGCCAGCAATATTGTTATATATAATGACATAAAATCAAGATAATGTCTGTTCTATGATATGATTGTACTGTACAATTAAATACAATCGTTGCTGAGTCTGCATTCTGAAAACTTTACCTCAGAGCATCCGTTAACTGAATGAATTGAGAATCTCACCTGAAAAATCCAATAACATCAGCAATTGTCATTCAAGCAGCATACATTAGCAACGATTTGAGACAAAACTAATTTAAATTTTATATAAAACTATATAAATGGCACTCTGTGGCGGAGCAGGATTTTGAACATGGTCCTGAGCCGTTGCTGGGCGCCGCGGACAGGTGCCGAATGGTGCCGCCAGTGTGTGTACACTCATAGAGAATAATGTGTTCGAATTTTAAAGATGTGGCGCTGAGCTTCTCGTCTGGTGTACGACACCCTTTTAGACTTTCCGCCGAAACCCCCGTTTCACTGTTGCTCACGCGACGGTCCTGCCTGACCCTACTGCTCACGGTGTGAATAAACGCCTTCATTGATTAACATGAATGCCGAAAAAATACCCTGCTGCTCACGCGCCGAACTTGTAAAGACAGTTCACAACTGCATGGTTTCTGTTGATAACGTTAGTGCCTTTGTTACTCTGAAAACCAAAATGATTCCACACTTCCAAGGAGCCGGTCTTTACACGGGGTTCAGCCATAGCTATGTTGTTTCTAGCAAAACGTTAGGCTAGTGGTGCGTCTATGCATAAAAAAAAAAAAAAAAAAAAAAAAAAATCAATATTGCGTTTCTGAAAATCGATACAGTATTGAAAAATAAAATATCGCGATACTCAAGTATATCGATTTTTTCTTACACCCCTAGTCTCAGGTGAGCGTTAGTCTCGGGTGAGGGTCAGGTGAGCCTCAGGTAACATGATAGTGACCGAGTCAAAGTACAGTATATATAAATAAAAAAAGGAAACATCAAAATTTCCAAATCCGTAGCTCCTAAAGTGCATAGTGCCAAAAACAGCTCAGTCCATAATTATTACCTATTATTTGAGTCTCGGGTGAGTCTCAGGTGAGCGTGAGTCTCGGGTGAGGGGGTCAGGTGAGCATGAGTCTCAGGTGAGCGTGAGTCTCGGGTGAGGATCAGGTGAGCGTGAGTCTCAGGTGAGCGTGAGTCTCGGGTGAGGGGGTCAGGTGAGCATGAGTCTCAGGTGAGCGTGAGTCTCGGGCGAGGGTCAGGTGAGCGTGAGTCTCGGGTGAGTCTCGGGTGAGCGTGAGTCTCGGGTGAGGGTCAGGTAAGCGTAAGTCTCGAGTGAGTCTCAGGTGAGCGTGAGTCTCGGGTGAGATACAGATAGCTTTATTAATCCCCAAAGGGCAATTCAGTTTTTACAGTACACCGTCTATACACAAATCCGGCGAAACACGGAAGTAAAGCAGCGCCGCCATTATATATATATATATATATATATAGCTATAACAGAAGCAAAATATGGGCCTCTCAAGTGTGATTGGTGGCCGTTTAAAAAAAATGTGCGTATATAAGAAACAAAATGTGATCTCACTTGTGTCTTAGGATAAATTTATTTCTATGGCCATAAGGTACTTCCATACCAAAGAGGACCTTTGCATCATGACTTGAAGTCAAAAGTCGCTTAACCTCTCTACTATTACTGCGGGCCTTGCTGCTGCGGAAGTAGCGTTGTTCTTGTAGGCGGCTATAGCAGATGTTAGATGTTTTTATTTAGTTATTTTGTGCGTATGTCCAGTGATGCCGGGAAGAGCGTGTTGTGTGGTTGGGTGTTCTAAAAATTCTCTGTATTGTTACCGTCACATTATGGTACGAGTTCACTGCCTGTGAAAACCTCACGACACCTTTTAATGTGATGAGCTCATCTGCGATGGTATGCAGTATCTGGCCAATCCATTCGGAGCTTGTGTAATTCTGACCTTCAATCAATGCCCTGTAATTTAGGTTCTGAAGCTCATCGCATGCCAGATTATTAATAAAATAATTGAATACCTGTAAGAACATCTATTTTATTGCTGCAACTGGTTGTGGCTAATAGTTATCTGCCAACTTCAGAGAAAAATGTGGGACAAGTATTGTTCTTTACAGGAAAATAAGAGACACTCAAAATATTTGTACTGTATCAAACAGTATATGTAATTTCAGGTTAGTATGCGTTTAAAATTTTCTTTTTTTAAAACACAAAAGTTTGTTTTGCTTAACCTATTTATGTACAATTTAATTGTAAATCAGATTTTAAGATCACACAATTCCACATTACACATTCACATCACATTACACAAATCAATTACCTCAGCTTAATATTTAACAGCCTGATTCCTGAGGGAATAAATGATCTTCCATAAGTTAACGGTTAGTCTTTGCAGGGGGCTGCAAGTAACGCTAACCTGATGACATAAGAACATATTCATCCCCCAGAATATGATGTTGATTCACAAGGCTTTTTACTTTTTGAAGAACACGTTTCTCCCAAAGAGAATTTAGGTCGCACAATTGAATTCCAATCATTTTGGAGCAGCAGACTTTCACAATATTATTTAAACAGTTTCGATCCTTCACTGATATATTACCAAAACAACAAATAAAAGAAAAAGTAAGAAGGCTCTCAATATACGACAAATACACAGTGCACAATATAGGTATAGAAACCCCGAAAGAATTTAGCCTACGCAATAAATGTACTCCCTGCTGGGCGCGTTTAACCACTGATTCAGAGTTCCTTTCGAACTTCAGTTGAGAATCAAAAATCGTACCCAAACATCTCAGGTGAGCGTGAGTCTCCGGTGAGGGTCAGGTGAGCGTGAGTCTAGGGTGTGTCTCAGGTGAGCGTGAGTCTTGGGTGAGGGTCAGGTGAGCATGAGTCTCGGGTGAGGGTCAGGTGAGCGTGATTCTCGGGTGAGTCTAGGGTGAGCGTGAGTCTAGGGTGTGTCTCAGGTGAGCGTGAGTCTCGGGTGAGTCTCAGGTGAGGAGCGTGAGTCTCGGGTGAGTCTCAGGTGAGGAGCGTGAGTCTCGGGTGAGTCTCAGGTGAGGAGCGTGAGTCTCGGGTGAGTCTCAGGTGACGAGCGCGAGTCTCAGGTGAGCGTGAGTCTCAGGTGAGCGTGAGTTTTGAGTGAGGGTTTGTCTCGGGTAAGTTTCGGGTGAGTGTCTCAGGTTCTTCTCACCTGAGTGGCACGTGTGATCTGGAAGATCTCCATAGTGCGTGTGACGATGTCCTGCACAGTCTCCTGCCCGATGCGGCACAGGTACACAGGTGAGATCTCTCTCAGCTGCTGCTGCTGCTGCTGCTGCTGCTGCTGTTGAGGGCCAAGCAGACCCACACCGGGCCCCGGGCCCTTCTGAGGGGCCACGGTGGACATCTAACACACAGAGAGCGCTTCACATTCAATAACAATAACATAAACTGCCATTTGCCTGTAATTGAACCTGACGTGAACTTTTAAACCTGTTAACCTTCTAATTTAGTCATAAGTCGAAAGATTCAAAATATTAAATCATTGTGAGATAAAAGACGAAATAATGGGGTCAAGTCAAATTTATAACATTATTAGGCTAAATTCTGACATATTGAGTCAAAATTATCAACTCGACAATCCAAATCGTGACCTCATTTTAACATAATGACTAATGGTAATATATATATAACGTTAGCCTATCGACGGAGTAACGTTTTGTCGAAAAGTTTCGAAATTTTTATGTTAATTGACTTAATTGAAGTCAACTTTGATCTAGTATATCATTATTTTGACTTTTTAGTTTAATAATTATGACTTAAATATAATAATTTTGGTTTAGTGTCATAATTGCGTCTTTTCTGTGGAAACAAGACACAATAGCACTTGTTTATGAATGGATAACGTTAAACATAACACAGAGAACACAAACTTTGTGTAGAAACTCACGGAATGTATTGACGTTGCTCCTGCTGCTTAAGTAGTTTTTTTTTTGTCGCGTTATTAACAATAAACAAGCAAAGAAATAAATGCTGGACTTCTGCACTCGCTAGTTTCAAACAGATGAGCGTCAGGCATCACTTATTGCGCCATTTCCTGTTTCCTGAGATAGTTTTAAAGTCCCCCTGTAGTCATGCTTAAAACTCATCTTTTATCACCTAAATTACATATTTAAACATTTTTGTCCTTGAAAAAATTCACTCTCCCTCTTTTTTAAATTGGTTAAACGTTTTATTAAGTAATTAATTTTTATGTTTTTTTGTACTATTAATTATATTATTATTTGTACTTTATATTCCTGCATTATGATTATGTTCACTCAGTATTACTATTTCTTGTTTATTTATTTATTTATTTAAAATTGTTGGCATTATTAATGTTAATATTTATATTATAATACTATATAATGATACTAAGATTTTTCTTTTCAAAATGTTCAAATTAGAATGTCTGGTCAAGTGAAGAATGAATGGGAGTCAATGGGGTTTCACCCACAGAAATCCACTTTTCTCAGGATATATTTTTTTGTCAAGTAATTTGAAGGTTGCATTCAAAAGGGAGGGCTAAAATAATACACTCAGCTGAAAATTGCATTTTTAAGTTCACTTATCTGTTCTAAAAATCCGTTCATAATAAAGAAAGAAATGTGATGACGTCACACAAAATCAGAATGCTAGCGTGTTCCGGCCAACAATGGCCTAACCTGTAAGAAATCGAAAGGACATAAGTACTCGTTCATTCAATTTTTGGCGTATAATCTACATTGAACTTTCGGAATCAACAATAAAAATCTATGTTGATTTAACGACAAGCAGGAGAAATAGACACATTTAGCCGTTTAGCCCCATAGACTCCCATTCATTCTGCGCTTGCCCGCGATCACCTCCAGTGGAATTCTAATGGAACTGCAACCAAGATGATACACAAAAGAGCCAATAGGAAGTGCCAAGGCTCTCCGTTACGGGCTCTGGTAATACCATGGGTAATACACAATTCTCAATATTATTAGCAAAATCATGCACACACATTTCCTTTACCTCATACTATTATTTTGAAATCACGTAGTCTCGTTATGTCTCGCGAGGTTTTCCGTCTCCAACACGTAGCCTCAACGTGTATTTGCCTCGTTCACTACATCTGGTATGAATTTATAGCGTTTTGATTTGATTTACTCTAGTAAGTATAATTTAACGCATTTATGTGTTGAGTATGGTTTTAAAATATGTTTAGTTTTATGTTTGCTCGCTATTCATTCTTATTATCTCTTATCGTATTAGTTCTTTATAATTCAATAACATAAACAATCGTCATTTCCCTTTACAGCTCTGTGATAACTTAAGTAAACCCTTAAACATATTAAGCTGCTAATTGAGTCATAAATTGAAATTATGAAAAACTCAAAACATTATGCCATTAGGAGATAAAAGTCGAAATTATGAGATCAAGTTCAATTTATAACATGGTAACAGTTAAAGCAAGCGAAATTCTGACATGTTAAGTCATAATAACGGCGTTTAAAAAAAGTGTGACCTTTATCATAATTCATATGACTTGTTGTTGAGTAATAATATCGACGTAGTAGCCTATGTCGTAATTTCGATTTAGTATGTGTGATGATGACCTTTTTATGTTATAATTTACTTTTTAAGTCCATTTTGATTTTGGATGTCATTATGTAGACTTTTTGTCGCGATTTAGAATTTTTATGTCATAATTTTGACAATTCTACTTTTTGTGTCATACTTCTGATTTATTCTAGAATAATTTCGACTTTTTAATGTAATAATTAATACTTTATGTAATAATTCTGGTTAAGGGTCGTAATTTTGGATTTTCTTTTCATAATTTCTTATTACATAATTTAGTATGTCATCATTTCAGCTTAGTTACAACATAATTTTCTTTCTTTTAATGCCTGATTTAACCTGACGTGAACTTTAAACCTGCTCACCTGGCATTTTCAGTCCTGAATCTGACATGTTACAGCATCATAGCAAGGCTCATTCACTGAAGTAGTTCCTAACAGCATATCTTCTGATGCTCATGCTTGTTCACAGGTTGGAGCAGAAGATGGCAGAGAACGGCTGTCATCTCGACCCGCAGACTCGGGCCGGGGCGGATCCGAAAGCCCTGGAAGGGTCCGGTTGTGGCCTGTCTCAGTCTCAGAGCGAGGTTCTGGAGCGCTGTCTGCATGCTCTCACTCACGCCAAGAATGACAGCCATGTTTTAGCAGCGCTGCTCCTGGTAAACAACTGCTTATCCTCTTCATCTACATCAGTGATCGACCGGCATTGGTTTTATCCTGGTGGTGGCCAATGGTTGATATATGTGACATCACACACACTGTTTAATATAAAGTCACCATGAAATCAAAATTACCATTATTTCATGTAAAATTACATTACATTATCAATGCACATCATTATCGTTGTTTTAAAGGGGGGGTTGACTGCTTTTTTTCTTTGCATGATTGTGTTTACGGGGTGCATTATAACATGTATTTGCTTTTTTTAAAAGTCTTATTTTTCATAAACTTCACCTTTATTGTCAGCCGCGCTCTCTTCTGTCCTCGAACGAGCGGTTGACTTCCTATGTCTATGAAACCACGCCCTCAGAAACGGTCAGTGGGCTAAACTGTCGCTCACGTTGTCCGGAAGGTTAACGCCTATTACCTTTACGGGCAAAACGTGCACTAGTGATGCGCGGGTAACCCGCGGGGCGGGTTGGGGTGGGTCATTAAGTTTTTTTTATTATTTTTTCTTTATCCATGTATGTTGCTTGCAATTTCCAGCCTATATTAAATATTTGGGAATATCTATTTTCATATTTTATAAGGTTACAATACGATTGCCGTAGCAACGTAACTTGCGTGAGGTTCCCAAACCTTTGGTGTCACGTGACACGTCATGAAAGCGCCGTGTCAAGGCCAATTTATACTTCTGCGTAGGGTGCGCGCAGTAGGTACGGCGTAGCATACGCACAGACGCGTCCCATACCGCGTACCCTTCGCCGTCGCCTGACGCGCACCTCCTCAAAAATTTAACTACATGTCGCGACGACGCGGACCGCAAGATCGGTGATTGGTCGCCTTGGTAGCATCGCATTTCCTCCTGCGCATTTCCGCACGTACCTTCTCACGCATTTCCACCTCTGTCTATGATTTCCACACGTTTCATCTCCTCCGAAGTCTTCTCTCATTTCTGCCTTTCAGTTTTAGTAATTTCACTAAAGTGAACTGTTTTTCCACCTCAATAAGCTCCAACTCCAACATGATCAGCTCTCTTTCAGTCGCTATTGCTTGTAGTAACCTAGCCGCGAGGAATCTAAACACAGTGGAACATTAAAACTCTCCGCCGCCAACTTGCGTTTCGGAGCAGTATTGCAGAGCAACCAAGACCTGAACGCAGAAGTATAAATGCTCACAACGGTGTTGCCTACGTGCGTAGCCAACTTGTGCGTAGCCAACGTGCGCCGCCAACTTGTGTTTCGGAGCAGTACTGCAGAGCAACCAAGACCTGAACGCAGAAGTATACACTCACCGGCCACTTTATTAGGTACCCCATGTTAGTAACGGGTTGGACCCCCTTTTGCCTTCAGAACTGCCTCAATTCTTCGTGGCATAGATTCAACAAGGTGCTGGAAGCATTCCTCAGGGAGTTTGGTCCATATTGACATGATGGCATCACACAGTTGCCGCAGATTTGTCGGCTGCACATCCATGATGCGAATCTCCCGTTCCACCACATCCCAAAGATGCTCTATTGGATTTAGATCTGGTGACTGTGGAGGCCATTTGAGTACAGCGAACTCATTGTTATGTTCAAGAAACCAGTCTGAGATGATTCCAGCTTTATGACATGGCGCATTATCCTGCTGAAAGTAGCCATCAGAAGTTGGGTACATTGTGGTCATAAAGGGATGGACATGGTCAGCAACAATACTCAGGTAGGCTGTGGCGTTGCAACGGTGCTCAATTGGTACCAAGGGGCCCAAAGAGTGCCAAGAAAATATTCCCCACACCATGACACCACCACCACCAGCCTGAACCGTTGATACAAGGCAGGATGGATCCATGCTTTCATGTTGTAGACGCCAAATTCTGACCCTACCATCCGAATGTCGCAGCAGAAATCAAGACTCATCAGACCAGGCAACGTTTTTCCAATCTTCTATTGTCCAATTTCGATGAGCTTGTGCAAATTGTAGCCTCAGTTTCCTGTTCTTAGCTGAAAGGAGTGGCACCCGGTGTGGTCTTCTGCTGCTGTAGCCCATCTGCCTCAAAGTTCGACGTACTGTGCGTTCAGAGATGCTCTTCTGCCCACCTTGGTTGTAACGGGTGGTTATTTGAGTCACTGTTGCCCTTCTATCAGCTCGAACCAGTCTGGCCATTCTCTTCTGACCTCTGGCATCAACAAGGCATTTCCGCCCACAGAACTGCCGCTCACTGGATGTTTTTTCTTTTTCGGACCATTCTCTGTAAACCCTAGAGATGGTTGTGCGTGAAAATCCCAGTAGATTAGCAGTTTCTGAAATACTCAGACCAGCCCTTCTGGCACCAACATTCATGCCACGTTCAAAGTCACTCAAATCACCTTTCTTCCCCATACTGATGCTCGGTTTGAACTGCAGGAGATTGTCTTGACCATGTCTACATGCCTAAATGCACTGAGTTGCCGCCATGTGATTGGCTGCTTAGAAATTAAGTGTTAACGAGCAGTTGGACAGGTGTACCTAATAAAGTGGCCGGTGAGTGTAAATGCTCACAACGGCGTTGCCTACTTGCGTAGCCAACGCCGTACACTACGGCGTACCCTCGACGCAGAAGTATAAATTGGCCTTCAAGCAGCTCCCGCCGACAGACGCGACAGCCTCGACAACAACAACAACGAAGAACTAAAAGTGAAGATGGAAGACGAGGTGCGGGAGAAATTGAGGTCAAGAATATACATGATTAAAAGAAAAAAAGGTCAGGCTGCTAAATCTAATGTTTGGGAGCGGTTCTCAGAAGCAGTTGCAGCAGGAGACAACAGTAGTCTCAGCTACCTGAAGTGCAACTCGTGTGAAAAATATACAAACAGTAGCGCCACAAAACGGGCACTTCCAGCATGTCAAGACATATTTGTGGGGGTCTAAGAAATAAAAAAAATGGTTTAGCCTATTAGATGAATACAAATGCTGTAAAAGTTGAAAATGTTTATTAATATGACCTGATTTATGGTTCATATTCATAATCGTCTGTTGTTGCCAGTTTACAGGGCGATGTTTCCAAGCACTTTCAGGCTGAAATAAAGGCTGTTTTCATTTACATTACAATGCCTAGTAGCTACTATGTCTATTTAACGGTCGCAGTGCGGGGCGGGTTGTAAAAATAGAGACAGTGGTGCGATGCGGGCTGGGGCGGGCCAAATAGTTTCGTAAAAGCGGGACCCGCGGGTTGGAAAAAAGCTGACCCGCGCATCACCTTGTTTATACTCGACGCGTCCGCAAGAGCGCGAAGGGCGTGCGGCAAAAATGACGTCATTGCGGTGTGGGCGGTCGTGCGTGTAGGGTCCGCAAGACCCCATTGCGCCTGGCGGTGTGCACGGCACTTTTTGTAACTTTGCGCGCGGCGCCGCATCCCAAGATAGACGACTTCGAGCCGAATCTGGCCGAACTGGTACGATCTGTACCAGCATGTTTATGATCCTTCTATACACAGAGACATTTGCATTGATGGGCGACCATAACATCTCATTTTGTGAACAGGAACACATTTGCATTAAGCACCTAGTTTGCACTTGTCTAAAGTTATTGGTTACATCTACAAAATAAGCCTACAATAGCAGAATTAAGCCCTGCTGGTAAAATTAAGGTTTAAACACTCTCCAATAAGGCTTCAGTTGTTTAATTAGTTTACATGCAGTGAAAGTAGGCTACAATAAACCTACTGCATTTACTCTTTTATGAATTAGCAATTAATAAATTACTAATAAACGGCAAACTACTTCTTCGCTGCTGATTCCTGGTGGTTTAGAGGTGAACTGCTCGAGAGTTCGCCGCCTGTCGTTTCACAGAATAGCACAACGGCGAGCGCGTCAAGTATAAATGCCTCATCCGTTTGGAGAGGTGCGCGCGCAGGCAGCGGAGACTCGCGCTCTTGCGGACGCGTCGAGTATAAACAAGGCTTAACGTGCACATCATGAGCTCCGGTCCAGATGTAAATACCGTAATTCCTCAAATAAAAGCCAGGGCCTTTATTTACCTAAACTGCAGAAAGTACCAGGCTTTTATTTGAAGCAGGCTTTTATTAGAGGCAGGCCTTTATTTTTTAAAAAATCTAAATCAAATTTCCGTCTGGGTTCCATGCTCCTCAAGACAATTTCGTTTTCAAGGCAGTTTTCAAGTCGTTGAAAAGACAGTTATACTAGCAGCACTAAATTATATCTGTGTTACTGTAAGACTTAAATGTTGCACACATTATTAAAAAGATTAATCCTGATGTTATATTTGAATATTTCACTGTTAATTCATCAGTATATTGTGTTAAAGTGGATGTTGTTGGAAGGAATTTTATTATGACGGGGGTACAGAGAGAGGAGAGCGGAAGAGAAGGAGTTAATAAAGTGAGAAAAAGAGCTTGTGGATTTATTTGATAAAGTTATCTTTAGATTAAAGCCCTGAAAACACCCACAATTAAGTATTACACTACATCTATTTCTACCATCCATTGGCTGTACGTTATGATGAACTTGAATGCACCCCACACAGCAAAGGAGTCCGTGGCGGACCCGCCCTCAAGCCTCCAGATCCGCCTGACTGTCAGATATACATTATGGGCTGTTTACACCTGGCCACTTCTTGCGTTTTTTCAGATCGGAAAGCTATTTGATTCATCAAAACAATTCTACTTAAATCTGATCACAAATGCGTTTTCGTATAACAGATATAAATCGCGCTATATGCAGATTTAATGGAGTTCACGTCACCGAAAGCAACAGATATGAGCTGCTGCATTTGATAACTTAGATCAGCTCATTTCAAAATCAAAAGACCGCAATGAGAGAGTGGTTCCGCCCTTGTAAGATTATTTCGTTTCTTTACCTTTAATGATGAGGAGTATTGTCTGCGACTTACTTTCACTTTAGTTTGCACGTTGGCATTATGAATAGATGCTCAGCTGCCGTGATGCGTGTTGCAGTAGCATTGTCACATCTTGCTATAACATTACACAGTCTATAACATGCTCTCACACTTTTATTTTTTAGTGTTTAACTTTATACACGGTTGTTTTTTACACAATAGCAAATGACTGGCAACAATAGCAACTGACTGGCTACTAACAGCGTTGGCAAGTTTACGTTCTTGATCAAATCGAAAATAACGTCATAAAACATATATACATGAAAAATACATTTACAACATTAGTACTTATACAAAATTCAGGTCAATAATGTTTGTACGCGTTTGTCGTAGACACAAAATAGCATAACTAGTAGCCTAGTGGCAATAAAGCCAGCGCTGGCATTTGAAAAAAATAAAACATAAAACACAAGGCTACGTCTGGAATTATACATGCAAATACATTTAAAATGATTAAGTCTTAGCCTACTTACAGGTTGTGGCCCAACAACTGCTGCCTCTGGTTTTAAAGGACAACTCCGGCGCAAAATGAACCTTTGGTCTAATTACACATTGTTACCTAGTCAACCGTTATCTGAGATTTTTTTTCATGATTGTATTAATGTAAATAGTTTTATCTATAAAAACAGTTTAGCCTATAATGCTAGTATAACGCTAGTCTATAGGGCATAGAGAGTAATGACAAATAAAAATCGCTTTTTATTACCACTAACAAGGCTCAAAATAGCCCCACAGTAACACGGTAGCACAATAAGGATCCATACATTCAAACCGAAGCATTGAGAACTTTGTCAGTGTCCATACCGTTTAATAAGAAGATATTTTATACACACAGTCAACTTTGCGAATACAGGAAGAAGCCATCTTTGAGAAATAGTCTCTACCAGTCGATCTACGAACGCCGATCCAAGTGCGCTGGTGAGATGTGAATAAAGTGATAAGGTGAGCGCGAACAGTAGGCAACATGTACATATTAAAGAGAAGAAAATGGTTCGTGTTTGTGTTTCTTCCGGAAACAATGGACCATATAAGATTCTGCACAGTTCAGCGCACTTGGATCAGCGTTCGTAGATCGACTGGTAGAGACTATATTTTAAAGATGGCTTCCTGTATTCGTGAAGTTGACTGTGTGTATAAAATATCTTCTTATTAAACGGTATGGACACTGACAAAGTTGTCAATGCTTCGTTTTGCATGTAGGGATCCTTATTGTGCTACCGTGTTACTGTGGGGCTATTTTGAGCCTTGTTAGTGGTAATAAAAAGCGATTTTTATTTGTCATTACTCTATGCCCTATAGACTAGCGTTATACTAGCATTATAGGCTAAACTGTTTTAATAGATAAAACTATTTAGATTCGGCAATCATGAAAAAAAATCTCAGATAACGGTTGAATAGGTAACAATGTGCAATTAGACCAAAGGTTCATTTTGTGCCGGAGTTGTCCTTTAAAGCTGGAACTGCTTCATGTTTTAGAAACAGTTTCTTGTTGAATTCGGCATTGAACTCGTGGAGATTCTGCAAGCTGTCTTCCGTAAAATGCGCAGCACAGAGACCTAGATTACGATCGTCATTTTCAGGAACATAATCAAACATAAATTGTATCCATTGTTGACGAAGTACAGCATCCGCAGAAGACCTGACAGCTGCGTGAACAACACACTCGACGAGCTGGAGCTTCTGAAATATGCGCATGCCCTTTTTTGCATTTTACGGAGGGAGTGGTTGATGCAAATGTGTGGGTTAGTGACGTCTAAAACCCAGCTGTAGTCTCTATCGAGTCGTTTTTGTAGGCAATATACTTCCTGATTTTTAAAAGACGATATCTCTGCTTACACTGAACTTTCAGCGCTGCAATTTTGCAGATACTGTTCATGCACCAACAGCAACATTACACACTATTTAAAATGAAAAAAGTGAAATCGCAGTCAACCCCCCCTTTAAATTCATGTGCCGTCTCTTCTCTGATGCAGAGAGCGGGGCTATAACCTGCCACTCACATGAGATCAGCCAAAAGCAAACCACAACCATCCATTCAATTCCCCACAGACACAATCATTCATAATTTCTCGTTCAGCATGTATTCAGATACACATGTAGACATTATAAAATAGTTTTTTGGTAAAGTTTTAGCATTTTTAGTTTAAATGGAGCATTTTCAGGTTTTTCTATGTGTACTGAAGCATTCCTCGCATTCCATTCATTCCTAAGGGCCTCAAATTGACTCACGAGGGAAGAAATTATAAAAAAAAAATTTAGATTTCATCAAAACTCCTCGAATCCATTACGTTTTTTTCTGTATTTGTCGTTCAAATGTGCCAAAATTTCCTTGGGTCTCTGCCCCCTCTGTCGACACTTTTTTACAAATGTGGGTTAAAATGACCCGAGGAAAGAACAAAGGGTTTAAATTCACAACTTTGAATGGAAACATAACTTGTTTTCTCTTGTGCCTTTAGATCACGCGCTTGTGTCCGGCCGGACAGCTGGACTCCGGGACTCTCCATCGGATCTTCGAAGCGGTCGGCCTGAATCTTCCCGCACGTCTTCTGGTCACAGCGTTCCGAGGTGAAGACGGGTCGGGGTTACCCCCGCAGGACCTGATCTCTCTGGGCTCGGCTCTGCTGGCAGCTCTCAGCACGGACGCTAGCATGGTCGCGCATCCACAGCTTCTCAGCACAATCCCTCTGATTCTGAGCGTTGTGGAGAATGGACCCACCCGGACAGAGAGAGTTAATGAATCCAAGAGCGTCTCCGAATCCCAAAGTGCTACAGATTCCCAGAACACCCTTGATGAGGCATTAGCTTGCGACTGCTACCAGGTGTTAAGCGCTGTATGTGCTTTACCCCAAGGTCCCGATCAGCTTTTCACACGCGGAGCCATTCCGGCTCTAACCAGAGCCGTCCTCAAAAATCAAACCCTCAGCCATGAAAAAGGGCTTCCGTTATTGGGACTTATATTATCTTCCAGCGTAAGACTGCGAGCTTGGGATAAACACTCGTCTGATCTGCTTTCGCTGTTGGGGAGCGTCTCGGAAAACTTCTCCCAAGCTTCCAAACAAGCCAGATTAACCATGTGCACAAATATCCCACTGCTTCTCCCTCCTCCTGGGGTCGAGTCAGAAAACCAGGTGCTTAAGGAGATTGTGGGTCGTCTATGGGGTTCACTCCGGCCTTTGGTTCAGGGAAAAATCAGTAAGGAGCATTTAGGCCCGGTTTTAGTGGCATCCGCCTGCCTTCTGGATCTGTTCGGATGGGAGTCAACGGGACCGCCTAAGTTCTGTTGTTTACTGGTAAACCGAGCATGTGTGGAGGTGAGGCTGGGTTTAGAAGAGCTGCCGGGAACTGAGATCGACCCGCAGCTTCAGCACACGCTCACCGCATGCTATCGCATCATGGAGGCCGCGATGGAGCAGGCCTGCAGCCAGGGGGTGCCGTCGAGTCCTTCCCCACCACAGGGGGCGCAGTCGAGTCCTGCCCCGCCACAGGGGGAGCCGTCGAGTCCTGCCCCGCCACAGGGGGTGCTGTCGAGTCCTCTCCCGCCACAGGGTGCGCTGTCGAGTCTTGCCACGCCACAGGGGGCACCGTTGAGTCCTTCCATGCCACAGGGGGCACCGTCGAGTCCTGCCCCACCACAGGGGGCTCCGTCGAGTCCTGCCCCGCCACTGGCGGCCATCGCTGGCCTGAGTCTTCAACAGAGCCGGCAGGTCTTAGGAGTTCTGAAGGAGGCCTTCTTTGCTGAGATGTACTACCTGAAAAGGGTGAGAATGCAAGTGTTAAACATATATGTCATCGTTCAAAGGTTTGGGGTTCAAAGGTTTGAGTCTGGCAGCTCTTTTATTTAGCTTTTGCTAAATAAAAGTATTAATTTCTTTTCATTATAAAGTAAACCACAACCTTTGAATGGTAGTGTATATGCTGTATAAGGTTGCTCTTTATTTTAAGGTGATGTAGTTTCAATGTAAATAATTAATTTGATTAGCTAGTAGCTATTTAACTACATAGGTTCCTTGTAATTATGCATAATTTACTGTTATAACAATAGGAAGTACTACGTCACCTTAAAATAAAGTGTTACCATATATATTATTAGAATTTAGTTTGCAGAATATTCTGTTTAATTGAATGGGTATGAACTAAATATTTTGCTGTTATAAACTGTTCTCCTTCAGGTGGACGAGGCCGGCTACGGCGAGCCGTTTCTGTTCGCCACGGTCCGCTCGCTCTGTGCTTGGCTCGCGGAGGAAACCTCGTGTCTGAAGGACGATGTCATCGAGCTCCTGCCTTTCCTCATTGGTTATGCGAGAAGCCACTTTAAGGGAGGGGTGGAAGGCAAGGGGCTTTCTGATTGGATGTCAAAGATGTCCATCAGCAACAGATCACATGATGCGACCTGGAGCGGAGATGCTGCTCTTAGGTAAGACAAGCCTTTTCTTTGAATTATGTATTTCTTCACTGTGTAATGTTGCTGTTTGAGGTAGGTATGTTAACCGATGACCGTTTGACCAAGGGTTGACCGTATCAACGTTAACCGATCAAAGTTGATGGTAGTCGGTAAAAAAAATAAAAAATTTGGCGCGAGGTCACTGCGTTTGGGTTCACACGCTCACAAGATTTGTGAAAAGTAAAGGCTTCAGTCTAAAACACTCGAGGTTAAAGCCAGGGCAGACGACAGGATGAAGCGTGCAAAGAAAATAGTGTGTGGGACCATTTCACCTAAAAGAATGAAACAGATGTAAGTTGCTGGGCTTAGATTTGGAAATACATTACATTTACATTTCAGTGGTAACAGATAAGGTGATGATAATGATCATCATCATCATCTTTCTTTATTATTGTTAGCACTAACGTTAACGTCACCTTAAACTAAAGCGGCGTCTCTTCGGAGCTATCATTTTCTTAAATGAGCCACGGCAAAGTTTGAGCTTCTAACGCTGTACTAACGCCTCTATTTTCAACGCGATCACATTGTACCCAAACCATTTAGAAACTAAAAAGGAGCCTCCGATTACATACAAGCTCCTAGGCGCCCCGTTTGCGGGAAGGGGGGGTCGCACACCGGAGTGACCAGATGAGAAGTGCTGCGCTGCGTAGGACAACTCCAGTATCGCACACCGGATGCGCACTTTCTAATCAGTGTATGGCCAGCAATATTGTTATGTTTAATGACATGACATGAAATGAAGATAATGTCTGTTCTATGTTATGATTGTACTGTACAATTAAATACCATCGTTGCTGAGTCTGCAGTCTGAAAACTTTAACGTTACCTCAGAGTTAACTGAATGAATTGAGACTCTCACCTGAAAAATCCAATAACATCAGCAATTGTCATTCAAGCAGCTGATTTCTGTAAATGAATGCAAAACTACATATTGCAGCATAGGGCGCAGTCAGGGTACATTAGCAACGATGTGAGACAAAAATAATTTAAATTTTATATAAAACTATGTAAATGGCACTCTGTGGCGCAGCAGGATTTTGAATACGGTCCTGAGTCGTTGCTGGGCGCCGCGGACAGACGCTGAATGGCGCCGCCGGTGTTTGTACACTCATAAAGAATAATGTGTTCGAATTTGAAAGATGTGGCTCGATCTCCACGACGCGGTGCTGAGCTTCTCGTCCGGTGTGCGACCGCCTGGACTCGTGTTTCGCGCTCTATGGGGATTTTAAAATAGTGACATGAGTGGAATGACGGCGCCGGGGCTGTGTGCGTGTGTGTGTGTGCGCGCGCATATTTTTAAACCAATCGGTTAACCGGTTTCAACCGGCTAATGAGGCTCGGTGGTCGGTCAAGAAAATTTTTAGTTTTCGCCATCCCTAGTTTGAGGATGTTCTTCTCTATATCAGTGTCACTGTCAGTGTTTCTGAACTCCTGAAACGCCTCCATTGTAGTCTTGAGTTTCTTCCGGGAACGAACACGTCCCAATATTCCTCATTATAATAATTCATATGCAGAATAAAGGGGCGGGGCCTGGTTGAGTTAGTAGTATGTTAAACTGGTGGTTATGGAAAGGGGCGGGGCATTTCCCAAACGTGCTCGACCAATCACAACCCACTACTCCAACCGACCAATCAGAGCACAGTGTGCTTTTCAGAAGGAGGGGCTTCATAGAGACAGGAAGTTAACAGAGCGTTACTGACAGACTGGGAAGAGAGGAGCCACAACAATTGAGAATATGAGGATAATAATCAACATTCAAACCTGTTCTAGTGGAGCCTGAAACTACAATACGTCTAAATGCTCTTTCCCAGATATCTTCTCCCAGCGCTGTGTCACCTCTCAGCTGAAGACGGGCCCCGCCGGGTTCTGCTCTCTCTGGAGACTCCGGCTCTGCTCGTGGACTTTCTAAGAAAAGGTTGGGGGTCGTTGAAGGGCCAGAGCGGGGCGACGGTGACCCGAGACCCGAGTCTCGAAACAGCGTGTTCAGCTTTACTCAACTTCGCCATCACAGAGCCAGAGCGAGTCAGGTAAACACAGAGCAGAGCTCGCTCACTTAAAGCTGCAGTGTGTAATAATTAGGAGGATCTGTTACCCGAATGCAATATCATATTCATAACTGTGTACAGTGGTGTATAAAGAGCTTCATAATGAACCAGTATGTTTATAAGCTTAGAATGAGGCGTTTCTCTATACACACACGTTTCTACGGTGGACCTGTACGGACAAGAGTGTTTCGTCACAATGTTGTTCATGATCAGTAGCTGCTAAAGTCAGCGAATAAGACACTGGCACAATGATGAACAAGTGACAATAATATTTGCTATAACATTGTTTTACTGAATAATTAAGTAAACCTAATAATCTTAATTATTACATAATTCAAAATAATCTTAATTTATCTGTGTAAAGAAACCTCAGACAACGACATCACTTCCTGTCGGCCACTGTAACTTCTGTTGGGTGCAGTTCACAACATCACCACTAGATGCTGCTAAAATCACACACTGCACTTTTTAATATTATAACATAACTCAAATTTAAATAAACAGTGTAACAAATTATAATATGCGTGAACATTTGATTCCACACTTATGTAACATTATACCTACACACACACACACATTACTGTGGGTCACTGTAGAGAAACACACTGAAACATTCTCTCTCTCTCTCTCAGGAATGATCCTTGTTTTGTGGATCTGGAGAAACTGCTGAGCGAAGCCCTTCCTGTTCTCCTTCATAAGCCATGCCTCCTGGTCTTCGCAGCAAACTGTTGCACTCTGGGTCTCATGATTGGCCGACTGAGGTCCGCGTCCACAGGTACAGTTGGCTCAGTCAGTGGGATGAACCATTATGAATTTCATATAGATGTTTGAAGTAAAAAGGTAAGTTTGCTTGGCAGGATTATCATAGTTAGCTAACATTAAAGCCTCAAAAAGATATTGTCGTTAATTTATAAAATAAATATTTTAACGTAAATTATTGTATTTCAATCAAGGCAACATTACTTGTTTAGTTTAAAGGAGGGGTTGATAGCGATTTCACTTTTTTCATTTTAAATAGTGTGTAATGTTGCTGTTGGTGCATGAACAGTATCTGCAAAGCTGCAGCACTGAAAGTTCAGTGTAAGCAGAGATATCGTCTTTTAAAAATCAGGAAGTTTAATGCCTTAAAAAACAACTCGATTGGGACAACAGCTGGGATTTAGACGTCACTAACCCATACATTTACATCAACCCTCCCTCCGGAATATGCAAAAAAGGGCATAGCCATATTTCTGCAGCTCGTCGAGTGTGTTGTTCATCCAGCTGTCAGGTCTTCTGTGCTCGGGCTTCCCACGGATGCTGTACTTCATCAACAATGGATACAATTTAGGGGTGCGCGATATATCGAATCAATATCGTTATCGCGATATCACATTGCTCGATATACATATCGAAAGTGATATTTTGCAATATTTTGTTTATGATGCGTCTGGTCCGACATGCACCGTTGCAATTCTCCCGACTCATTTCATGATTCTCCTTCTCCATAAACAACATGAAATCAAGGAGAGGTTTAACTTTTCATGCTACAGATTTCCCACCGTGGTCAGAAAGAACAGGGGAGACGCTTAAAGTCGCTACTCGCTCCAAAGCTAACCGCCGTCACTCTCACTTCTCCCTTGCTCTCCTACCACACAGTCCCGCACACACACACTTGCCGGTGGCTCGACGGCGACGCGCACACCAGCGCACAAGTATAAACATCAGGCCACCTGGCAACTTCATGCGTTTTTACTGATCGGATAGCTATCTGATTTATCAAAATACGATCTTCAATTCTCGCACTATATGCAGATTTAATGGAGTGCACGTCACCAAAAGCAACAGTTATGAGCTGCATTTTACGATCATCAGGTAAAATAAGATCAGTTCGTTTAGTTACTTTTAATGAAGATAACTTTGAAAAGCGTCTGCGACTTACTTTCACTTTGATTTGCGATAGTTTGCGCGTTGGCTTGATGAAGAGGTGATGCATGTTGCAGTCGCGCGCGTCGTCATATCTGGCCATAACATGACAAGCCTGTAACGTTCTCATTTTTAGCGTTTTTGGAAGGAGTACATTTTACATATGTGGTTTCAACAACGAAAGGCATTTACATTTGTCCAGTTTCGACTGAAATGCGGCCCAGACCACCTCCTGAATGGGTTTGAGCGATTAGATTCAAATACGTCACAAATGCGTTTCACAGGGCATTTACACCTGGTCTTTTCACGATCAGATAGCTATCCGGTCAAAGAAAACGCATATAGTGGCGTTTAAGTTGCATAGTGTGTTCTGTAGACTTGCTATTTATTTATTATCTTTTACACTGTAGTGTACACAACTAGTAACATGTCCTGTTCTGTAGACATGGTTATTATTTATTTATTCATGCTGTACCAGTCCAATATGACTGTCAGTTGAAATAAATCTTATGTTGTAAGAACTTGTTTTATTTATTAATCTTTTTTGATGCGTTTTCCAATAACTTTTGTAGTTTTACATCCATTTAAAAATATCGAAATTAATATCGATATCGCAATATCACATTTTTGTCAATATCGTGCACCCTTACAATTTATGTTTGATTATGTTCCTGAAAATAACGATCGTAATTTAGCTCTCTGTGCTGCGCATTTTACGGAAGACAGCTTCCAGAATCTCCACGAGTTCAACAAGAAACTGTTACTAAAACATGAAGCAGTTCCAGCTTTAAAACCAAAGGCAGCAGTTGTTGGGCCACAATCTGTAAGTAGGCTAAGACTTCATCATATTAAATGTATTTGCATGTATAATTTCAGACGTAGCCTTGTGTTTTAGTTTAATCAAATGCCAGCGCTGGCTTTATAGCAACTAGGCTACTAGTTATGCTATTTTGTGTCAACGACAAACGCGAACAAACATTTTGGACCTGAATTTTGTATAAGTACTTATGTTTTAAATGTGTTTTTCATGTATATATATATATATGTGTACGATATATGTTCATGTACGATGTTCTTCTTCGACTACTTCTTGTTACCGGCTGCTCACCGCTTAGGAGTATTACCGCCACCTACCGTATAAGATGATGATCCATATATAAGGCGCTCCGGATTATAAGGAACACTGTCGTTTTTTGAGAAGATTAAAGGCTTTTAAGTGCACCTTATAGTGCGGAAAATACGCTAATTGAAAAGCGCGCATCTTCCTCTGCTTGTAAACAGAAAGTTTTGCGCTTCCAGCTATATCAGCACATCATCTTATACGATAGGTGGCGGTAATACTCCTAAGCGGTGAGCTGCCGGTAACAAGTCGAAGGAGAACGTCCTCGTCTCAGTTCTCGCGCATGCGCCCATAAGGAAGTAATGGAATAGTCGAATAAAGTCGTTGTTTGTTTTTTTCGCACAAAAAGTAGTCTCGTCGCTTGATAAACTTATAATTGAGCCGCTGTAGGCACATGGAATATTTAAACCTTTTCTTTAATGACTTCAAAGCCTATGTAGGACTGATCTAGCTCTCAGATTCAATCAAAAATATCTTTATTTGTGTTCCGAAGTTGAACGAAGGTCTTACGGGGTTGGTACAGCATGGGGGTGAGTAATTAAAGACTTGAACTAACCCTTTAAAGTACTAGTGTTTATAAAAGTAACTGTAAGTGAGTGTTGGACCACAGCAGAGGTATCAGAGATGTAAAGATACGCAGAAACATATGGAAGCATTTGTGTAGTGATATTCAATTTGAAATGTAATATGCAAAATGACAATGCAATACAAAATGCAATGCCATTTTACATATTTAAATTTACATTTTACATTACCATTCTAGTAACATTTGGTGCAAAATGAAAATGAAATTACATAATTTACATTTGCCATTTCATACATTAGTTGTAATATGCATATTGAAACGCTTTATAAGTGGCAAAATTAAAATGAAAATGCATTACAGAAATGATTAGATATGTGTAACACGTTCAAGCAAAAACTGTGGCAAAATGATCATTCAAATGTTATTTTTCTTAATTGCATTTACACTCACAGTCAAGACACTTGTGATTGCATTTTCATGAAATGCCCCGCAATGGCTGTAGCAAAATTCAATGTGCACTTTGAAAATGCATTCGAGCCGATCACGCCCCCTCCTGGCCTGTCAATCACTGCATCAAGGCGGTTGTATTTCCGAAGATTATTACATGTATATTAAAATATTTAAGTTGTTGTTTACTTCAGTCCACACTGCTGCATTCGGCAATGTACCGTCCATCGACTAACTCCATACAAGGCCGTGATATCTTTAACAGTTTTAACCCATACATAAGATATCCCTTTATGGCCTCGCCAGGGATCTCCACGGGTTGTCACCCCTCTCCCCTAGGCCTATCCGAATACAACTGTTCTTCCATCACCTTTAAGAGGTCAAGCAGCCAAAAGGGGTGTCGGCGCCTGATAAGGCAGAACATTGTCCCAGATGTTCAACAACGTACTGTTCTATCACCTACATACAGTACATGTAATAATATTCGGAAATACTACCGTTTCTCTGTTCACGCTCCACTTTATCTGCTAAATGATTTAACGCTCGTATTAGCTCTGCCGCAGCAATTTTTTCAACAGCTGAAAACACGTAACATAGCCTATTATGTTTACCTGTTGTTGCCGAGCCCCGTCTTGATGCAGTGATTGACAGGCCAGGAGGGGGCGTGATCGGCTCGGAATGCATTTTCAAAGTGCACATTGAATTTTGCTACATCCTTTTGCGGGGCATTTCATGAAAATGCAATCACAAGTGTCTTGACTGTGAGTGTAAATGCAATTAAGAAAAATAGCATTTGAATGATCATTTTGCCACAGTTTTTGCTTGAACGTGTTACACATATCTAATCATTTCTGTAATGCATTTTCATTTTGCCACTTATAAAGTGTTTCAATATGCATATTAAAATTAGTGAAATGGCAAATTTAAATTATGTAATTTCATTTTCATTTTGCACCAAACGTTGCAAGAATGGTAATGTAAAATGTAAATTTAAATACAAAATGCAATGCCATTTTCAAATTGAATAATGCTACTCATAAGCTCCCATAGAAACATCCCAAACCTGTTGATAATGTTTCCCTGAATCCCTACAGAGCCTGAAGCGGGCCAGCGGCGGTTCTTCTCCTCAGTTCTGTGCTTCCTGCTGAGCGCCCTGCAGGCGGGACCGGCCCGGGAAGCGGCCCGGATCAGTGTGCTGTGGGAGGAATGCTGGGAAGAGGCCGGAGAGCTGTGGAGGCTCAGTCTGCAGGCTCTGGCCGCTTGTATTCGGGTCCAGTCCTGGATAACCCGCCTGATCCGGGACGACCGCTGGCTCCAGAACCTCTTCGCTCGGCTGGGACCCAGTGGGCATCTCTCGGACCGGGCTTCTCATGAGGTTCTGGAGGAGGTTCTGTGTGTGGTGGCCCGGCAGAGTCCGGTGTGTGTTGAGGAGATCCGGGAGCTGCTCATGAACACAGCATCTCCTCAGGGAATGCCTCGGCTCGGCAGAACACTGCTGGAGTCCAACACACGCGTTCAATAAGACAACAAATATACTGACATATTTGTATTTCTCAGTAAAAAAAATTGTAAAAGGATTTGTATACGATCGGCGGTCGAAGAATATCCAGAAAATTGAATAAAAATATTTTTGAAGTATTATTTTATGCATTATTGTGCTCCAGCTTGTAGAGTTCGGCGCTTGGTCAGGATTTATCCGAAGCGACTGTGGTGTGCAGAGGACTGGAGTGTCCAGCAGGGGGCGTCCTCATTGCAGTCTACGGTTACTCAAACACACGGGGGATTTACTGACAAAAGAGCAGCAAATGCAATGTGGATTTATTAGTCACAACCATTTTAGGGTAAAATCACTATTACGTTTATAACAATGTTTTTTTATTTGCATTTTTTTTTGTGTGTGAAAGAATCCTGAAAAATTAAATTGTCTCACAGTTTTCAACACTGATAATAATCATAAATGTGATGATTAAATCCTCATATTAGAGTGATTTGTGAATGATCATGTGACACTGAAGACTGGAGTAATGATGATAAATTCAGCTTTGATCACAGGAATAAATTACACTTTACTATATATTCACATAGAAAACTGATGATTTACATTGTAAAAAAAATTCACTCATTTACTGTATTTTCGCCAAATATATGCAGCTTTGGTGAGCAGAAGAGACTTTTTAACATTAAATAATCTTCCCGACCCCAAACTTTTGAATGGCTGTGCACATATACAGTTATTCTCCATTATCACGTGGTCTTAAAACTGCGTTCAACAGCTAAATAAACACAACAGGTGTAAAATACACCAAATCAATCTAAAAGTTGTTCAATTTCTGCCTTAGAAGAGTAGTTCACTTAAAAACAAAACTTTTGCTGATAATTTACTCACCCCCATGTCATCCAAGATGTCCATGTCATTCTTTCTTCAGTCGAAAAGAAATTAAGGTTTTTGGTTTTTGAAAACATTCCAGGATTTTCTCCATATAATGGACTTCAATGGGAACCAAATGGTTCAAGGTCCAAATGAGAGTTTCAGTGCAAACTGTTCAAAGGGCTTTAAACGATTCCAGACGATGAATAAGGGTCTTATCAAGCGAAATGTTTGCTCATTTAATAAATAAATAACAAAGTTTAAGTTTTATAAGCTCAAATGCTCACCTTTCTCTGTTCTGTGATGAGCGTTAGTGACTCTCCAGTTCGAACTCATTCATCAAAATGAACAAATCTTTTATCGAGTCATGACTCGAAGGGTCCTAGATAAGACCCTTATTCATCGTCTGGAATCGTTTAAAGCACTTTGAACAGTTTGCACTGAAACTGTATTTCTTTATTTAATTTTTCTTTATTGAATTTCTTTTCGACTGAAGAAAGAAAGAATTGGACGTTTTGGATGACATGGGGGTGAGTAAATTATCAGCAAAAGTTTTTTTAAAAGTGAACTACTCCTTTAAATTTGTAAGTAATCAATTACTTTCAACTCATTAAAAATAATCTTTAAATTTTTTTAAAAAATAAGTTGAAATTAGTAATGGAAAACAGTGTTGCATGACTTATTGATCAAGTACTTTAATAAAAGTAATCCCTTTTCAAGATTGTTTTTACGCATTTCAATTAATAGTAAAATTTCATCAAATTGAATTGAATAATCCTTGCATATTATGAATTAAAATTGATTTTTTCAATGTTATATTACATTTGATGGAATTGTACTATTAATTGAAAGGTGTAAATCTTGATCAAATGCCTTTTTTGTATATTTTTTTTTTACAGCATTTGGTCTTAATAAAAAAAGTAAAAATGAAAATATAGCCGCCGTTTCCTGCGCTTAAATATTCCTTGCCAGACAAAATCAGGATCACTTTTGTCTCACACACACAAAGTTTATCCTCCTCCCATCAGACCCCCAACACACACACACTCCCTCTCTCTCTCGCTCACTGCCCCCCCCCCCCCCCCCCCCCTCTCTCTCTCTCTCGCTCACACACACACACACACTCCCTCTCTCTCATAACTCTAGTGTGTGTTTTGTCAGTAAAACTCGCGTGTGTCGGCGGTGTCTCTCACTCATCTCTCTCTAGCAGGACTCCGCGTCTCTTCTCTCCCGTCTTCACATCAACAAAGGACGAACGAACTCTCTTTCTCCAGAATCATGTTGTGGAAATCACGGACCAAGACAGAGCCTTACTGCTTACAGGTAGCCTATGTTATTATTCTTGCAACTTAGTTTGACGTTTTTTTTTTATTGGAAACCAAGTTTTGCTAGTATAGACATATTACGTTAGATAGTCACGTGATAAAAAAGTAAACAACAAAAAAAAATCTGGTTTAACCCTAAATAAATTTTAGAAAATGTAAAATAATTATTAGGCTAATAAAGTTTTAGCGAACCATTAACCTGCAACACATCAGTGAAAATAGATTTTTCCAATCAGACTGAATTAATTTAGAGTAATTAATTAATGTCCCTTTAAGGTGTCCCCCCTCCCTCTTCCCCTCGGTAGTGCTATAAGAGCTGGTGTGTGTGATGAACAGGGACAGACAGCAGAGTTGATGGATCTGTGATCCCGGGCCTTTACTAACTGTGTAACCGCGAGTGTCAGGCGCTTCGGAGCCGCTGTGTGTGTGTGCGTGTGTGTGTGTGTGCAGATGTTGGTCCACACCTACTCGAGCATGGTGAGTTACACCGAGAGGAGAGATGGTCTTCGCGGAGGAGACTGTCATGTGAGATCAGCTGAGATGAGAGCGCGATCTGTGTTATTAAGCGTGTGTGTGTGTGTGTGTGTGTGTGTGTGTGTGTGAGATAAAGTGAGTGTTTCATTGGAAATATGTCACATGCTGCCATCGGTCTAAACGGAGATAACAGGCTGGTCTTTGTCTGACAGAGAGAATCATGAAACTCGAAACTTCGGTTTGGTTTATTCTCGTCGCGAGTGATGCGATTCAGTCTGCGCTGGAAAACTGGCGGATGAATATAACGCTCCGAAATAAAAGAAACTAATCACAGAAATGCATGCACATAAATGAAACTAATGAAACGAATACATGTGAATAAAAATAAAACGATTCTCTGTAATATTACATTGCAATCGTTTTTTTAACTAAAAATATCGGAGAAACTGTAAAAATAGAAAGGAAAAATAATAAAAGCACAAAAGGGAAATTATTAGCCCTACGTGTTTTAACATGCGTGTAATCCTGAATTAAGTGTGTTTATTAGGCCTAACTGTTTAAAACAGGGAGAATCATAAGACACCTGCTACTTCTTTCTGGAGCCGCATCAAAACTAATTAGAATGGTTATGGTTATAATGAATGCTAGTATAATTAACGAAGACTAATTTAATACCTTGGATATATAATTTATACTGATCAAATTAATATGCAATCTTTCCAGGAACACTTGACATACAAATGTAAGAAATTGTGCTAATCACAAGACTTTTGACAAACAGTCATACACTGTAAAACATTTTTGTTGGTTTAAAAAGTAAGTAGCCTGTTTGCCTTAAAATCTAAAGTTCATTGAAATTGAAAATAAATTGAGTTAATACAATGAAGCAGATTTGTTTAATCAACAGAAACTCATTATGTTATCCGAACCATATAAATTATCCAAGTCGACTTGACAAGAGCAAAAATGTTGTGGTACTGTATATCAACTCGCTAATATTCAAAACTTAAAAAAAATAATTGCTATCTTAAATTGACCGTATGTTTCGTTGCACTTATTGAAATCAGTAGCATGTTATGGTTTGACTTTGCAACGTTTATTAAGCTCTATCAATATTGAAAACTTAAAAATAATTGCTATCTTAAAATAGACCAAATTGTTGATTGCACTTAATGATTGACAGATCGCAGCTTAAATTATGGAATGAATTGTGCACACTTTGCAATCGATGTTTATTAAGCTATTTTATAAACTATGCACATCAACACTAATATTGAAAACGTACAAATAATTGCTATCTTAATTGTGCATTGCGCGCTGAGATCAACATCAATTATGGCATGATGGATTTTACACACGTTGCAATTATCCTTTAGATTATTAATCTATTTTTTTATGATGCATCTCAATACAGTCATTATTATGATGTATTGGAATGAAACTTATGTATTTCCCCCGCGCACAGGACCGATCGGATGGGCTTTCGAACTCCTCTCCGAGCGCACGGCTCTCCCAGCTCTCCTCGCTGAACCAGGCGTCCTACTCCTCGGCTCCCCCGCTCTGCCACACCCCAGCCTCGGACTTCCAGCCACCCTACTTCCCTCCTCCTTATCCGCAGTCCTCACTGTCCTATTCCCAAGGCCAGGACACGGGATACCCGCATTTACCGGAGCCCTACCCGTCCATCAACTCGCTCCACCAGCACCACCAGCACCAGCAGGCCTGGCACTCCCAGCGCTCGCGCTCCGAGGACGCAGGGCTCCTGTCTCAGTCCCACCGCGCGTTGAGTTTAGACCCGCGTCGCGAGTATCCAGGCGTCCCGCGGCTCCTGCACCACGGCCTGGGCGAAGGAGCCGCGGCGCTGGGGGAAGCTCCTCTGGGGATGCATGCAATGGCGCATCACGGGCTGGAGGACATTCAGGTGAGTTTAGCGGGGCTTTACAGACATTTATGAGATTTTTTTTTTTTCGTAGAATGTAAACAACACAATTCAGGCGTAATTATAGACCGAATTTGTCTTTTTATTGGTTATTTATTTAAATGGAGAGTCTCGATTTTTTTGGTTACACTTTAATTGTTAACACTTTTTTAACAGTGTTCTTACATGCACTTACCATATAATAACAGTAAATCTATGCATAATTAACCCTCAATCAAGTCCTAAATAAATACCCTAACCCTATTTTGTGAATTAGCCTAATATTACTCAGTATAGCCTACTAATTACACTGTAACAATGACACCTTAAAATAAAGTGTAACCCTTTATTTTGCAGTGTCCTTGTTACATGTTACATGATTACCATAGTAATAACAGTAAATTGTGCATAAATACATGCAACTAAACCTCAACCAAACCCTAATCCTATAGTTGCTTAATATTACTCCGTACTTACATATATAATTATACTGTAACAATGACACCCTAAGTGCAACAAGGTGTCCTTGTTACAGTGTAATTAAGTACTGAGTCATAGTAATTACATGTAGGCCTAATTAGAGAAAAGGTTTGCATGTGCATAATCATTAGTAATGTGTAAAATATGAAACAGGGACACTGTAAAATAAAGTTTTAGCAAATGTATATAATAAATGCCTTAACGGAAATATAAATATCTTCCAAATAACGATTTCTTTTATAATATTATTTGATGCACGAGTGCTTTAAATTGTTTTTTTTTTCTGCGTGCATTTGTGTGAAAAGTACAGGCGACTTCAAAACATCATAAATCATTGTTAATAACTCCTCTTTATTTATTGTCTGAAACGGATAAATATCTTTACTCATATACAATTTAAACCGCTATTTCTACAAAATCACAGCTATACTGAAAAAAAATCGAACGGTTGATTCTTCAATTTGAGGCATTTCTTGAAACCTTTAAAAAATTAACCTTTAAAATGTAGCTAATATGTGCTGCAAAAATGCGTTTGTTTAAATTTTAGGACATGTTTAGGCTAATGATGTTTAATGAGATGTTTCTGATAAAGAAAAAAGCAAGTTAGCGTTGCATGTGGAAAAATGATTAAAAGTTTGTGAATGATTCATGGCACAGTATAATCATGATGCAAACGTCTTATTAATTTGACTCCAGAAAACACGACATTTTATTAAAACTATAGCCTATGTTAGTTAGTCGTGCGAGATACAATAAATAATCTTTAAATCATTATAATGTAGGCTATCTTTTAAAAGTGAGGCTATCGCTTTTTTTTCTTTTCTTTTTTTAAATCCCATTTAGATAGCAAAACTCAGCGCCACTAGTTCCACCGCCTTGCGATTCGGATTGGAACTGGTTTGTTTTTCGGCTCGAGCTGCTGGTTCTTCAGTCTTCAGTCACAGTGTTTCAGTGTTTGCAGGTGCAGAATGAGTTGATCTGAATGAGTTCCTCTTTCCGTCATTGGAAACTTGCAGCGCGTCTAATCGGTTTCTTCGGTCAATTATTCAACAAACAACTGGACTCTCTTTGATGCGTTTCCGAGAACGAGTTATACGAGAAGAGCCTTTAGAGTTTCATTTGCCATAAAGCGATGACATTAATGTATAGGCTAGGCCTACATGTTTTTGGTTTATTTTGTCTTTTTTTTTTTTTTTTTTTAACTTCTATCCTTCGACTTAAATTTAATATCAAAGTGGTCTGGAATGTTTTATTAAAACATCGATTTCAAATTACAGTAACGTACAGCCTTTGCATTTCTCAGCTGTTAAGTGACATGAATAACTATAAAATAATTTCTTACACATTTTTACATGTTCCTCAAGTATCTGGTTGAAATAAGCAACATTGTATCCTAATAAAATAGGCCTAATTGGAATGCTTAGCATCATTTTTAGAATAATTGTCACATTTGATGAACAACAGTCGGCTATGTGTGTGTATAGTGTGATCTAATCACCAGTTAACATAGCCTACTGATAAGGTTCATAGTCAATTTTTTAGCACATATAGCACTCGTCCCTCATCTAAAAAGCAGTTGTTGTTTAACCACAGTTTTCACCACTTTCAATGAAGTGACTCGACAGTGTGTGTGTGTGTGTGTGTGTGTGTGTGTGTGTGTGTGTGTGTGTTTGTGTGACAGGGTTTGGAAGAAGCGTCAGCGCTGGGGATCCTGGACCATTCAGTCATCAAGAAAGGTGAGAGTCTGATCTGATGCATACTGTAGAAGGAGGTGACCACACAGACAGACAGACAGACAGACAGACGGAGAGAGAGAGAGAGAGAGAGAGAGAGAGAGAGAGAGAGAGAGAGAGAGAGAGAGAGAGAGAGGGAGAGAGAGAGAGAGAGCTCTGCAGTTTGATTTGAAGTGCTGGATCCTGTCTCTGCTGCGCCTGGAGCGGCTGCTGTTAATGAACTGTTCATGGTCATGCGAGAGAAAGAGGGGGATTAGAGAAGAGAGCAGATAATAAAGTTATGAAGAATTCAGAGCATGCATCACTGTGCCTTACACTTACCAGACTGGATACTCAATAAGTAGGCCACAGCTTCTGAAAACACTCTAGCATGGTTTCATTTGCATTTATTCTAGATTGTATTTAACGTTCTCTGAAATCTCGCGAGTTTACCGAGCGGTTGAATGGATTAACGGGTGACGCGATATTTCTCGCGCTCGGAGCGGACACGCGCACGCTGCCCACAAACACGTAATTCTACTGTACGACAGAGATAATATACAGTAGCCTAGTGTGTATTAATCCACTGAAAGAGACTTAAAACAACCCACAATTTTTCGAGTGTGTGGATTAGGCTATAAAATGACTTTCAGGGCAGTTATTATTCCAACAGTTTAAAACAAAATAGCGTACTCAGCTTTTAAATGTGTCTATGTGGTGTTTTTAATACGCTTTGAAACACACCATGTGTATGTATCCACAATGTATCCCTTAAAACTCACCTTTGATCACCAAAATTTCAAATTTAAAAGTTGTTGAATAAAAAAAAATTGGCATGCCTTAATATCTTGAATGTAACTTGACACCCTTGCCTCATTTAGTATGCTTGGTTTTATGAATATGCAAATGAGCCCCGCCTCCACTCACTCACTCACTCAGAGATCCACTGGTTGACGATCACATGTTGATCTGATTGGTTACAAGGTCGTTTGTGACGTCAGAAACACCAGCGATTTCAAAGCGTGTTTTTGAGACTGTCTTTGGTTCACTGCAGTTTTAAAGGACAACTCCGGCACAAAATGAACCTTTGGTCTAATTACACATTGTTACCTATTCAACCGTTATCTGAGATTTGTTTTCATGATTGCCGAATGTAAATAGTTTTATCTATAAAAACAGTTTAGCCTATAATGCTAGTATAACGCTAGGGCATATAGAGTAATGACAAATAAAAATCGCTTGTTAACCACTAACAAGGCTCAAAATAGCCCCACAGTAACACGGTAGCATAATAAGGGTCCCTACATTCAAACCGAAGCATTGAGAACTTTGTCAGTGTCCAAACAGTTTAATAAGAAGATATTTTATACACACAGTCAACTTCGCGAATACAGGAAGAAGCCATCTTTGAAAAATAGTCTCTACCAGTCGATCTACGAATGCCGATCCAAGTGCACTGGTGAGATGTGAATAAGGTGATAAGATGAGCGCAAACAGTAGGCAACATGTACATATTGAAGAGAAGAAAATGGTTCGTGTTTGTGTTTCTTACGGAAACAATGGACAATATGAGATTCTGCACAGTTCAGCACACTTGGATCGGCGTTCGTATATCGACTAGTAGAAACTATTTTTCAAAGATGGCTTCTTCCTGTATTCGCGAAGTTGACTGTGTGTATAAAATATCTTCTTATTAAACTGTTTGGACACTGACAAAGTTGTCAATGCTTCGGTTTGAATGTAGGGACCCTTATTATGCTACCGTGTTACTGTGGGGCTATTTTGAGCCTTGTTAGTGGTAATAACAAGCGATTTTTATTTATCATTACTCTATGCCCTATATACTAGCATTATACTAGCGTTATAGGCTAAACTGTTTTTAGAGATAAAACTATTTACATTCGGCAATCATGAAAAAAAATCTCAGATAACGGTTGACTAAGTAACAATGTGTAATTAGACCAAAGGTTCATTTTGCGCCGGAGTTGTCCTTTAAAGAGGAAATACTCAGCAATGCTGTCGACTTATGAACTTACACATGGTGTGTCTTAAAGCAGATTAAAAACACCATATATACACATAAACAACATTAAACACTGGATCTTCACTAAAAGAGGGAATTTAAGTATTCTTTAAGTAGCGTATTCTATGCTTCATTTTAATACCAAAATTAAGAGATTTCGGCTTAAATAAGTTTTCCTCAAATAAACAGCCACACTCTAAAACCCAACCCAAATTTGGAAGAAAAAAAATGGGTCAAATATGGAAAAACCCAACGGTTAGGTTAAAAATCCTTTCTGAATCTTTCACACGGATTTTCCTAATACATGCGTCAGTTGCATTTCTCTAGTCCTATAAGTGCGCTTGAAATGCAGCCCACACAGACGAGGCATACACACACACCAAAGGCTAATCTTAAGAAAACAAATGAAAGTTTTTAGGAATGACATAAAGACACTTGAGCTCAAATTAAAAATTATCCAATGGTCTATTCTTTCATGAACGCTATTCATTATTAGAGTTTGAATGGAGGTTTGGGTCTCATTCAGACAAAAGCCGTGTTTTAAAGGGATAGCGCACACACATACACATAACAGCCATTTGATTGGCAGAAAGTAACCATGTTACTTTCGACACTGTGATTGTTGGGTTCATTTAAAGTCAGATTTTTTTAAGGAGCCAGAAAACTTTAATTACAAGCACAACAATTGTGTGCACAACAGATGGAATAAAGCTTTCCCCGATGGAGACGCAACACCCGCTCGAAGATAAGAGTGAGAAACAGAAATTAAACACTGAGACGACAGATGCCAACCTGTGGGAGAGTGTCTTAAAAAGGTTGTAGGACCAAATCTAAAAGCACAAAATTATCACATTTTGATAAACACTTAAAATAAGATTCCCCCTCCAGTGACTTGCGATATAGTTCTGGCACCCCTTACTCCTTTAGGTAACACTTTACAATACGGTTCATTAGTTAAACTAACATGAACTAACCATGAGAAATACATCTGTTACTGTATTTGTTCATCTCTGTTAATAAAAACACGGCTGTTCATTGTTTGTTCTAACACTTTCTCTTCTAACACTAAAAATATTTTACATATAATGTTTTCGACTAAACTGGGAAGGGTCATAGCACTTATATTATCCTATTGTTAGTTTCACTGCCTCTATTCTCCTCATGTGTAAGTCACTTTGGATAATCACTCACACGCACACACAGAGACAGGGAGAGAGAGAGAGAGAGACTCACTCACACACACACACACACACACACACACAGATAGAGAGACTCACTCTCACTCACTCACACACACACAGAGAGAGAGAAAGAGAGACAAGCTCTCACACACACACAGAGAGAGAGAGAGACTCACTCACACACACACACAGAGACTCACACAAAGAGACTTACTCTCCCTCTCACACACACACACACACACACACACACACAGAGAGAGAGAGAGAGAGAGAGACTATTGCTTTGGCAATATTGTGCTATTTTACACAATCATGCAATAAAGCTCAATTGAATTGAGAGAGAGACTCACTCACACACACACACACACACAGAGAGAGAGAGAGACTCTCTCTCTCTCACACACACACACACACACACACACACAGAGAGACTCACTCGCTCTCTCTCTCACACACACACAAACACACACACAGAGAGAGAGAGAGACTGACTCACACACAGACTCTCTCTCTCACACACACACACACACACACACACACACACAGAGAGAGAGAGAGATAAAGAGAGAGAGAGGGAGAGAGAGAGAGAGACTCACTCTCACACACAGAGAGACTCACTCACACGCACACACAAAAAGAGACTCACACACACACACACACACACACACACACACACACACACACAAAGCATCTGTTAAATGATTAAATGTTCATGTTTAATGTTCAATACAATGCATTAACTAATGTTAACAAGATTTTAATAATACTTAGTGTTAAAATTAACATTAACAAAGATTAATGAATGCTCAAGCAGCTCACACACACACACAGCGTCTTGCAGTACTTCTGGCACACCTTACCCATTTACATTCATGAATTTGGCAGACGCTTTTATCCAATGCAACTTACTAACATTTCAAGCTACACATCTACATTCTTATCAGTTCTTGCTTTCCCTGGGACTCGAACCCATGACCTTGAGGTTGCGAGCATCAGCGCTCGACTGCTTGAGCTCGGAAAGCTTCACCTTCCCCGTCTGTGTTTGTGTGCTCAGTGCCGTCGAAGCTGAATGGCTCGCTGTGTCTCAGTAAAGAGGGCCTGGGTCTGGGCGGCGTGTCGAACCCATCGGAGATCTTCTGCTCAGTGCCGGGACGCCTGTCGCTCCTCAGCTCCACATCCAAGTATAAGGTGACGGTGGGAGAAGTCCAGAGACGCCTGGCGCCGCCTGAGTGCCTGAACGCGTCGCTGCTCGGAGGAGTCCTGCGCAGGTACACGAGGAAACATGCACACGTTTGTGTATGTGCGCCTGAAAGCCAAACATGGCGTAGGAGAGAGCGGGACACAACCGGGGGGCTCGTTGTTTTAAATGCTTCCCCACATGCTAGCATAACGAAACTTAGTGCATTTACTATAGATGCCATATCAACACTATACACTCACCTAAAGGATTATTAGGAACACCTGTTCAATTTCTCATGAATGCAATAATGTAATCAACCAATCAAATGGCAGTTGCTTCAGTGCATTTAGGGGTGTGGTCCTGGTCAAGACAATCTCCTGAACTCCAAACTGAATGTCAGAATGGGAAAGAAAGGTGATTTAAGCAATTTTGAGCGTGGCATGGTTGTTGGTGCCAGACGGGCCGGTCTGGGTATTTCACAATCTACTCAGTTACTGGGATTTTCACGCACAACAATTTCTAGGGTTTACAAAGAATGGTGTGAAAAGGGAAAAACTTCCAGTATGTGGCAGTCCTGTGGGGGCGAAAATGCCTTGTTGATGCTAGGAGTCAGAGGAGAATGGGTCGCCGACTGATTCAAGCTGATAGAAGAGCAACTTTGACTGAAATAACCACTCGTTACAACCGAGGTATGCAGCAAAGCATTTGTGAAGCCACAACACGCACAACCTTGAGGCGGATGGGCTACAACAGCAGAAGACCCCACCGGGTACCACTCATCTCCACTACAAATAGGAAAAAGACGCTACAATTTGCAAGAGCTCACCAAAATTGGACAGTTGAAGACTGGAAAAATGTTGCCTGGTCTGATGAGTCTCGATTTCTGTTGAGACCTTCAGATGGTAGAGTCAGAATTTGGCGTAAACAGAATGAGAACATGGATCCATCATGCCTTGTTACCACTGTGCAGGCTGGTGGTGGTGGTGTAATGGTGTTGGGGATGTTTTCTTGGCACACTTTAGGCCCCTTAGTGCCAATTGGGCATCGTTTAAATGCCACGGCCTACCTGCGCATTGTTTCTGACCGTGTCCATCCCTTTTTGGCCACCATGTACCCATCCTCTGATGGCTAATTCCAGCAGTATAATGCACCATGTCACAAAGCTCAAAACATTTCAAATTGGTTTCTTGAACATGACAATGAGTTCACTGTACTAAAATGGCCCCCACAGTCACCAGATCTCAACCCAATAGAGCATCTTTGGGATGTGGTGGAAGGGGAGCTTCGTGGCCTGGATGTGCATCCCACAAATCTCCATCAACTGCAAGATGCAATCCTATCAACATGGGCCAACATTTCTAAAGAATGCTTTCAGCACCTTGTTGAATCAATGCTACGTAGAATTAAGGCAGTTCTGAAGGAGAAAGTCAAACACAGTATTAGTATGGTGTTCCTAATAATCCTTTTGGGGAGTGTATTGTGTACCACAAAACCAGTCACATGGGTCAATTTTATAAAATTGAGATTGGTACATCATCTGAAAGCTGGATAAGTAAGCTTTACATTGATGTATGGTTTGTTAGGATACGACAATATTTTTCCGAGATACAACTATAAATATCTGGAAAATCTCCTTTAAAGTTGTGCATCCGCGATTGTGCAGCATCCACTCACACAAATAAATGTTATATATTTACAATAGGAAATTTACCAAGTGTCTTCATGGATCATGATCTTCACTTAATATCGTAATGATTTTTGGCATACAAGGAAACTGTATAATTGTGACCCATACGATGTAGTGGCTACTGGCACAGACACACCTGTGCGACCCGAGACTGGGTCTGTGGTACAGGGCACATATAGAGAATTATTTTTGCAGAATAGGAAAAGTAAATGTTGTGTTTATTTAAAATGAGACAAATCTGATATGATTGTAATCTTATCTCTGTTGTTCAACAGTTGAGATAGTTGTTTAATGCTGATCTAACAGCAGAAACACTCGCCGGGTTTAAACCCCAGTTGCTCAGACGGGGCATGTTGTCACACTGCGTTACAATGAGCTCCTATTAGAACTATGATATTCTATTCTAGACTTTTATGAATTCTATTGAGAACCCATGAGAGAAAGGGGAATAAAGACTGATGAATAAAACTCTTCCCCAGAGCCAAGTCGAAAAACGGCGGTCGCTGTCTCCGTGAGCGCCTGGAGAAGATCGGCCTGAACCTGCCGGCTGGGCGACGGAAGGCCGCCAACGTCACACTGCTCACCGCGCTGGTGGAAGGTAGCACACAAACTCAGACACACACACACACACTAGATCAGTTGCCTTCATTTACACAGTGCTTTTTACAATACCAGTGTTTCATAGCAGCTTTACAGAGATAACACGACAATAATGCAAGAGTTTGTTTACAGAAGAGAATAGCGTCACATTCCAGCTTAAGTCAGTTCAGTGATGGTTCATTTTTGTTGTAAAAAAAGTTATTTAGTTAATATATATATATATATATTAGTTGGCTGCTGTGGAGAAAACCGTGATGTCATCGTCCAGCTCAACTCAGTTCTCATATAATGCTGTCAATGCAGGAGATCAATAATATTGAATATTAAATTAATGTCACAGATAGAGACAGAGACACACACACAGACAGAGACACAGACACACACACACACACACACAACATTATCAGTCACTTAGGCAAGCAAGTTTATCGTTGATGTTAATGTAGAGTGTGAAGTTAAAATTAGGGCCTTTGAGAAGTCAGCCTATTATCACCTCATCTCTCCATCAGCTGATCCACCTCTCTCTCTCTCTCTCTCTCTCTGCAGGAGAGGCGGTTCACCTTGCTCGGGACTTCGGGTACGTGTGTGAGACGGAGTTCCCGGCCCGGGCCACAGCGGAGTATCTGTGCCGGCAGTTCGACCCGGATCAGATGCCCACGAGACGCAGCATGTTGATGGCCAGCAAGTGAGTGACGAACAACCCTTCAGATGTGATGCAACACACACACACCTGTAGAGTCTGCTAACAGGGGGACACACTCACACACACTCTTGTAGAGTCTGCCACACACACAGACACACCTGTAGAGTCTGCTAACAGGGGGACACACACTCACACACACCTTTAGAGTCTGACACACACTCACACACACACACCTGTGTGGCTCATGTTGACCAAGGCTTAATATTTTTAAAATAAGTTAACTTCGCCATAGGCTATGATTTAAACCCAAACACACCAATAGATTATTAAGACACATAAGAGAAACATAAAACTAGTGCAATACAATAAGTTAATTTCCTGATTTCTGTCTGTTTTTTTACAACGAAGTGGGAAATCAAATTACATTTTTTATTTTAAAAAAATCTTTGAGATTTTATTGCACTCAAAGCAGTTTAAAATGCACAAATTTAGTAAAATAACGAAGCCTCAGTTCAATTTATGAGCACACTTCCTCCTCAGCTCATCAGTGTATTCTTGAAATCATGCGTGTGTGTGCAAGAGTGCGCGTATCGTGTAAGTGTGTTCACAAGTGCGCGTATGTGTTCGTGTGCGCAAGAGTGTGCGTATGTGTTAGTGTGTGTGTGCGCAAGAGTGTGCATATATGTTAGTGTGTGTGTGTAAGAGTGTGCGCTTGTATGAGTGTGCACGTGTGTTAGTGTGTGCATGAGTGCGCTTATGTGTTAGTGAGCGTGCACGAGTGCGCATATGTGTTAGTGTGCGTTTGCACGAGTGTGTGTATGCGTCAGAGTGTGTGTGCGTGCGTGTTAGTGTGTGTGTGCACACGTGTGTTGGTGTGTCTGTGAGAGTGTGAGTGTGTGTGCGCGTATGTGTTAAGAGTGTGTGTGTGCGTGTGTGGTACGGCCTCTCACCCCTCTCCCGTGTCCTCAGGGAGATCTGCAAGGAGTTCATGGACCTGATGTCTCAGGACAGGTCTCCTCTGGGTGCCGGCCGCCCCACGCCCTGCCTGGACCCCGGGGTGCAGAACAGCCTGACCCACTTCAGCCTGCTGACCCACGGCTTCGGGACGCCGGCCATCTGCGCCGCACTCAGTGCCTTCCAGAGCTACTTACTGGAGGCCCTCAAACTGCTGGAGAAGGAAGGGGCCAAGGGCCACGACAAGGATCTCAAGCACCGCAAGTGAACAATCGGGCGAGAGACACAGACTGCCTCCTCCCTCTCTGTTAGGAGCGTATGAGTGTATTTATGTGTGCGAATGTGTGCGTTCACCGCGTATGGACTCGCTGGTCTCCTGAGAGAACACGTGCACCTCAAAGTCCCATCGGACCCCGTCGCGTGCTGACGCGACACACACGGACTTCTGAACGGTGGAACGTTATTAGCTATTGACTAATGAATTTGAAAATGTCATTTTTGTACTTCATGTTTTGTGTTTATTATCAATGGTCCTGTTCTTCTTATTGCTGTACTGCAATGTAAATGTAATATATTATTAAACCAACCACTGGATTCAATCGCTTTGACGGGGTTATTATCGCTATGGAAGCTATTCAAATTATTTGTTTTGAAATAATGCTGCATATGAAATTTAAATATTACTTGAAGAATGAAAGTTTAAGTTAAAGCATTAAAATAATTAATAATAGCTGGGAAAACTCAAAATAATAATAACACAGCAAAGTGACCAAAATGAAAACTAAAAATATAAAACTAAATTCAACAACTGAACTCAACCGTTCTACAATATTTTGTTTTAAATAATGCTGAATATTAAATATAAATATTTGAATATTATAATAGTTGAAAAATATATATAATAGTTGAAAAATGAAGGTTTAAGTTGAAGCCTTAAAATTATTAATAACTGAAGATGAAAAAATATAATTTAACCTAAAATAATAATAAAATAGAAAATGACAAATAAAAAAATAATAAAAATAAAATACTAGTAATAAAATACTAATATATGACATATAAACAGTTGAAAAACTTTTTAAAAAAAAAAAAAGTTTAAGTTGAAGCATTCAAATCATTAATTAATAAAGATAAAATTAAAAAAATTAAAACTAAAAATAATAATAACATGGAAAAATTACTAAAATGACAACTAAAAATATAAAACTAAATTCTACAATTGAGTTCAGCCGCTTGACAGGGTTATTATCGTTATCATGAACTATTTAAATAATTTGTTTGAAATAATGCAGCATATGAAATATTAGTTGAAAAACAAAAGTTGAAGTTGAAGCATTAAAATTATTAATAAATGAATAAAACAAATTAAAAAAAATGATTAAATTAAAACTTAAAAATATAAATCTAAAATAAAATGACATGAAATGTGAACAAGTTTACGAAAACAAGTTTAAGTTGAAAGCATTAAAATTATTAATAAATGAAATGATAATAATAATAATAATAACAACAACATGGCAAAATGACTAAAATGAAAATTAAAAATATAAAAATAAAATAACTTATTATATGAAATATAAATATTAGTTGAAAAACAAAAGTTTAAGCATTAAAATGATTAAAAAATAAATAAAGCAGAAATAAAATATAAAAAAAAAAACTAAAAATAATAACAGCAAAACTACTAAAATATATAAACTTATTCTATGAAACGTAAATATTGGTTGTGTGTAAATGTAAATATTGGTTGAAAAACAAGTTGAAATTGAAGCCTTCCATTTTTTTTTACTGTAAATTAATAAAAATAAAGCCAGAATAACTAAATGAAATGAAAAAAAAAAAAATGAAACAAAGCGAAACAAATCAACTAATTTCCAGCAGGTGTTTTGCCTTGTATAACCAGACGTGTTGGTGTGGTGCAACTGTGCCATGATTAGCGCATTAGCGTGGTCACATGGACGGCCCAGAGGACACTAACCCGAGCGAGGAGCGTCACCTTAGACATGAAGCAGTCCTGAGGACGGCGATCAGCAGACACACACGCGCTCGATGTCTCCTCTCACCCCATCTGTCACTCCAGCGCTCTTCATCTGCTCAGGGGCCTGACGTCTCCATACCTGCCCCCCTGCCGGCTCACACACACACACCTCCTCTCTGACACTCAGCAGGCTCTCTCCGCATCTCTCTCCGCCTGCAGGCGAACATATGCTGCTCGTCCCTTTAGATTCCGGTGTGTTCAGGAGAGAGGGATTGTTTAATGTTTATTAATCACCTGTCTGTCTGAGACACACACACACACACACACACAAGTGCAAAAACACTTGTGTACAAAGCAGTGAGGAAACAAGCACACATCCAAAGAGACGCACAGAAATACAGACTACGAAATGATTTCATCTGAACATAGACCATATTATTAATGTTTTATTGGATCACAGGTTACATTTGCAGTACAAAAGATGCGGAATAACAGTAGATGCTCATTTGGCGCCAACCGGAAGCTTCTCCATGTCGTGGATCCCGTCTTTGTCGATCAAGCGGACAGTGAAGGAAGGAAGGTTCAGGATGAAGCGCTTGTTGAGCTGTTGAGAAAACATGTGATCAGAACGGTGAAGAAGCGGCTCGCGTAACACAGCCAAGCAAAACAGGAGTCGTCGTCTTCAAGAACACACGAGTGCTTCTCCACTACTATACGAAACCGTTTTCGAGTGCATAACTACTGTACGAAACCATAAGCAAGCGCTTCACTACTGTCCAAAACTGTACGCGATCGCTTCACTACTGTACAAAACTGTACGCGAGCGCTTCTCCACTACTGTACAAAGCCATATGCGAGCGCTTCACTACTGTACGAAACCGTACGCAAGCGCTTCTTCACTATTGTACAAAACCGTACGCAAGCGCTTCACTACTGTATGAAACCATACGCGAGCGCTTCTCCACTACTGTACGAAACTGTACGCAAGCACTTGTCCACTATTTTACGAAACCGTACGGCAGCGCTTCTCCACTACTGTACGAAAACATACACGAGCGCTTCTCCACTATTGTACGAAACCGTACGCGAGTGCTTCTCCAATGTACGAAACCTGTACGCGAGCGCTTCACTACTGTACGAAACCGCACGCGAGCGCTTCACTACTGTACGAAACCGTACGCGAGCACTTCACTACTGTACGAAACCGCACGCGAGCGCTTCACTACTGTACGAAACCGTACGCGAGCGCTTCTCCACTACTGTACTAAACCGTTCGCGAGCGCTTCTCCACTACTGTAAAAAACCGCACGCGAGCGCTTCTCCACTACTGTACGAAACTGTACGCAAGCACTTGTCCACTATTTTACAAAACCGTATGGCAGCGCTTCTCCACTACTGTACGAAAACATACGCGAGCGCTTCTCCACTACTGTACGAAACCATACGCGAGCGCTTCTCCACTATTGTACGAAACCGTACGCGAGGGCTTCTCCAATGTACGAAACCTGTACGCGAGCGCTTCACTACTGTACGAAACCGTACACGAGTGCTTCTCCACTGTACGAAACCTGTATGCGAGTGCTTCTCCACTGTACGAAACCGTACACGAGTGCTTCTCCACTGTACGAAACCTGTATGCGAGCGCTTCACTACTGTACGAAACCGTACGCGAGCGCTTCTCCACAACTGTACTAAACCGTACGCGAGCGCTTCTCCACTACTGTACTAAACCGTACGCGAGCGCTTCTCCACTACTGTACTAAACCGTACGCGAGCGCTTCTCCACTACTGTAAAAAACCGCACGCGAGCGCTTCTCCACTACTGTACGAATCTGTACGCGAGCGCTTCTCCACTACTATACTAAACCGTATGCGAGCGCTTCTCCACTACTGTAAAAAACCGCACGCGAGCGCTTCTCCACTACTGTAAAAAACCGCACGCGAGCGCTTCTCCACTACTGTAAAAAACCGCACGCGAGCGCTTCTCCACTACTATACTAAACCGCACGCGAGCGCTTCTCCACTCCTGTAAAAAACCGCACGCGAGCGCTTCTCCACTACTGTAAAAAACCGTATGCGAGCGCTTCTCCACTACTGTAAAAAACCGCACGCGAGCGCTTCTCCACTACTGTAAAAACCGCACGCGAGCGCTTCTCCACTACTGTAAAAACCGCACGCGAGCGCTTCTCCACTACTGTAAAAACCGCACGCGAGCGCTTCTCCACTACTGTAAAAAACCGTACGCGAGCGCTTCTCCACTACTGTAAAAAACAGCACGCGAGCGCTTCTCCACTACTGTAAAAAACCGCACGCGAGCGCTTCTCCACTACTGTAAAAAACCGCACGCGAGCGCTTCTCCACTACTGTAAAAAACCGCACGCGAGCGCTTCTCCACTACTGTAAAAAACCGCACGCGAGCGCTTCTCCACTACTATACTAAACCGCACGCGAGCGCTTCTTCACTCCTGTAAAAAACCGCACGCGAGCGCTTCTCCACTACTGTAAAAAACCGTACGCGAGCGCTTCTCCACTACTGTAAAAAACCGCACGCGAGCGCTTCTCCACTACTGTAAAAAACCGCACGCGAGCGCTTCTCCACTACTGTAACAAACCGCACGCGAGCGCTTCTCCACTACTGTAAAAAACCGCACGCGAGCGCTTCTCCACTACTGTAAAAAACCGCACGCGAGCGCTTCTCCACTACTGTAAAAAACCGCACGCGAGCGCTTCTCCACTACTGTACAAAATTGTACATGAGCGCTTCACTACTGTATGAAACCGTATGCGAGCGCTTCTCCACTACTGTACAAAAACGCACACAAGCACTTCTCCACTACTGTACAAAACCGCACGCGAGCGCTTCTCCACTGTACAAAAATGTACGCAAGCGCTTCTCCACTACTGTACAAAATTGTACATGAGCGCTTCACTACTGTATGAAACCGCACGCGAGCACTTCTCCACTACTGTACGAAACCGTACGCGAGCGCTTCTCCACTACTGTACAAAAACGCACACAAGCACTTCTCCACTACTGTACGAAACCGCACGAAAGGCGCTTCACTACTGTACGAAACCGCACGCGAGCGCTTCACTACTGTATGAAACCGTAAGCGAGCGCTTCTTTACTACTGTATGAAACTGCACGCGAGCGCTTCACTACTGTATGAAATCGTACGCGAGCGCTTCTCCACTACTGTATGAAACCGTACGCAAGCGCTTCTCCACTACTGTATGAAAATGCACACAAGCGCTTATCCACTACTGTACGAAACCGTACGCGAGCGCTTAACTACTGTACAAAACACAGCGGTCATAAACTCAGTTTAATTCCATAAGGACGCATTAAAGGTGATGGTAAATAAAGGTGACATTTATAATGTTACTTATAGAGTTCTACTTCAAATATATGCTGTTCTTTTCCACACAATTATGAAGCAGCAACTGTGTTCAACACTGATAATAATCATTAATGTTTGTTGATCTTCAGATTCTCATAAGGATCATATGACACTGAAGAATGGTGTAATGATGATAAATTCAGCTTTGATCATAGGAATAAATTACAATTTACTATATATATATTCACAAAAAAATGATTTACATTGTAAAAATATTTTACAATTTTTTACTGTACTTTAGATGAAATATTGCATTTAAAAACAAAAAAAACTTACCGGTAGTGCAAGTCTATGCAATTTTAATGGGAGAAGTTTGGACTGTAATTATGAACCATGAAAATAGCAGCGTGGCATGTATGAACACGTACCTCCTCTAAACACTTCTTGAGCAGATCCACGGCTTCTTCACGAGTCAAATCTGGAGCGAGAACAACAGAAAAACTGGTTTAGAGATCAGCAAATAAGCTAATGATGGCGAACTGCAGCGCATGCTCACCGGGTCTGTAGTATCGGTCCAGGATGGAGAGCGTGAGGAAAGCGCCGTAGCCATGCGCCGCAAAGGGAGCTTTAGCCAGAGCGGACAGGTGATCCATATAATACAGTCCTGGCCCGTCGGCCTCGTCGTAGCCGGCCAGCAGCAGGTTCACATGATACGGGGTCTGACAGATGAGAGAGCAGGCATTGAACATTACATTTACTGTATCACAACACACACACACACAACACACCATTTCAAAGCAGCATCACAGAAAATGCATCACAATTACAATTAACAGAGACCGTCTAAGTTTAGCATTTTATAAGTGTACATATACAAAAGCACAGTTCGCGAAATTTGAACAATGTAATAATTTAATGCAGAAACAATGAGCTCATTGAAATAAAGAACTACTGTATGTGTGTCAGCTGGTCATTACTGACGTGACGTGGGGGTCTTGTGTCGCCCCGAGGGGTTTATTTTGTGACTGTACATTATTCATGTACACCATGTCCAAAACAGACACGACTCGCGATAAAAAGCTTCATTCCCTGATTATGAGCTTTATTTAATGTTAAAAGCGTCTAATGCGAGTCTGGATATCATTTAAAGCCATACTGAAAGCGACATCAGATCCTGAAAAGAAACAGGAATGTTTAAACTGTGAAGAAACAAGCGGATTTTAAGACGAAGACTGTTTGTCACTCAGTCAGTAAGTATTATTAAGTAATAATCAAATTCATAAATATTACAACATTTTAACATTTTACATCAATTTAGCAAAGTTAGCAAGAGAGGCTCCACCCACACTCTTTTCTGATTGGCTGTGATCTTGGATTGATTTGGTTATGAGTGCAGTGCGCTTGCATAGACTCCGCCCACACACTCAACTGATTGGCTGTGATCTTGGATTGATTTAGTTATGAGTGCAGTGCACTTGCTGAGACTCTGCCCACACTCTCTTCTGATTGGCTGTGATCTTGGATTGATTTGGTTATGAGTACAGTGCGCAGGCAGAGACTCCGCCCACACACTATTCTGATTGGCTGTGATCTTGGATTGATTTGATTGAGTACAGTGCGCTTGCAGAGACTCCGCCCACACACTCTTCTGATCGGCTGATTTTGTCGAAACTCATGTCTCATGTCAAGTGTGCACAGTTAAATTGCTTGTTACTGGAATGTGCTTGCATCGCGTCTGGGACATGATGTAATAATCCTGATCTGAGTCTATTTTATCATGAGGGGAGAAAAAACAAACTAGCACAACTAGAATCAACTTCCTAGGGGGAAAATACTAAACGAAAAACAAACTGAGCACAGAATCTTGTCGAAAACCCTAAAGTTTAGGGTTAGACGCAGAGAAAGAGAGAGGGAATGAGAGGGAGTGAGGAGAGAAAGAGGAGAGAGAGAGAGGAAGGGTGTGAAACAGAGAACGGGGGGTGAGGTGTGTGTGTGTGTGTGTGTGGGGGGGGGGGGGGGGTCGCTGGTGTCACCATCAGTGTGACTGTGATCATCTGCACCCCCGCTGCCACGAGCACCTCCTCTCGCTCGCCCCGATGCCCTGGAGCTCTGCCAGCTCTCATTAAAACTTCTGCTAGTCCTCGATCCTGCTTGCCTCTCTCTAAACTCTCGAACGACATTCGCTTTCTCAGCGTCCCGCGTCTGAACAGCGCTCGGATGGAGAGATCGCAATTTCTGCACTCCAGGGGATTTAAAGGTGAAGCTGAAGTGTCATTTTTACAAGTATTAGATGCACAAAGACTGGAGATGCACCGTTATGAACACTTTGGGCGGAACGATAATTCTTTATATATGAAAGCCGAAACCCGAATTTTATGAATTCTAACAACGCAATATTGTGAGAACATGAACATGAGAACAAAACTCTGGATACTGAATGTATACAATATTTAACGTCCAAAGTTAGCACCCAGAAAGCTGAGGATGCTCGACTGAGCTCTGCTTCACATCTTCCTGTGCTTCAACGGACAGATTCACACATTAAAAAGAAGAAACATGCCTCTCTCATAAACAGCGGGTTTGTATTAAGAGTTGAGGAAGTAAACGCGTGTGCATCAGTATCAGTACATTAGACCCATGCATTCGCTCTTAAAGGGACAGACGCCTAATAATCTGCTGCTTCTGCATTTTAAAGACACTCAAACAAAGGAATCACTTGACTGAATAACTTAAACATTGAATAATCTGTTTAATTTAAACAATTATGCATTGCTATTTACTTAAATGTAAATGTCTGTACCTGAAACTGTTATCTACCCGATTAATGTACTCGAGAAGCTCTGCTCATTTCATTCGTACCTTCTACTGTATTTAAATGCTATTGTTTGGGATTTGATTATTTGTTCTTGTTTTATTACTGACTGCTGATTTCAATTTATTAATGCTTAAACTTTATATTAAGAAAAATTACAAAAGTAGGGTGGGATGAGTGATATTATAGTTAACTAAACCAAACAAAAACCATTAAAAAAAATTTCCGTTACTTGAAATAAAATGTGAAAAATACTACTTTCCAAATGCAACATTTCTCATTATCATTTAGTTTATATACATTTAGTGTATATATTTTTTCCTACTATGGTAGTCAATGGGGAATGGGATCTGTTTGATTAAAACATTCTTCCAAATATCTTCCTTTGTGTTCAGCAGAACAAATAAACACATAGAGGTTTGGAACAACATGAGGGTGAGTAAATACTGACAGAATTTTCATTTTTGGGTGAACTAACCCTTTAATTTGATGTCCTAAAATAATAAAAACTGAACTAAAAATGTATATATAGAGATATTTAAAAAGACAAAAAAAACCAAAAAAAAAAAAAACAGCAAAATTACTAAAACTTTAACTAAAATAAATAAGATTATATAAAAAAATACGAAAATATGATTATATGAAATTTAAAAACTGATACAAAATATTATTAAATGTTTTTTTTTTTAAATGGTAAAAAAAAACTAGCACTGTGAACTAAAACTAAAACCATAAAAAACTGAAATAAAAATGTATTAAAACATATATATATAAAAAAACAAAGACGCACATCAAAATTCCCAAAACTTAATCACATAAATAAACAATTTAATTAAAACGAAAAATGGAAAATATAAAAATAAAAACTTCACACAAGATAATAATAAAAGTTCATCTTTTTTTAAATTATAAAATTTAACAAAAACTGTACGTACTCCCACTTTAAGAAAACATCCACCTTTAATGTTTATGCAATTCTCAGTTTGGCGCAGCAAAAACTAAACGGTGCACATATAACTCAAAGGTCTTCATCTGTGCGCATTACACTTAATACAGGTTCTCTATCTATGGTTTTGGAGCCAGAATTTCTGAGAGTGTAAAGGCAAAAGTACATCATGGCGTCCAGTGTGAGACTACAGCAGCTGAACCGAACTCACCCGAGAGGCTCTAATCTGATCTGGGCCGGCGCTGCTCTCGGCGGGCCGCTTGCGTAAGTAAACACCCCCTCGAGAAGCTCACCTGGGAGAGGAGCTTGTTGAAAGACCAGATTTGAGTTTGTAGGAAATTCCCCTGAGTGTCATCCACCCCGTGCATAAACTCAACACCTGTAATGTGACCTACGCTAAAAACACTGCAAAATCTCACCTGAGTCGCGGCTGAACAAAAGCTTAGTAAAGAGACCGATAACAGAATATAGTTCAGCTTCCCCTCTCATCTTCTGTGCCCCAGGACGTGTTCTCCTCTTTGGCATCTCTGCCCAATCTGCCGTATTAATTGTTCATCTGAGGCGGAATAGGGGAATGCCTCGCAATATGGCACCAGTAATTATTAGTGCCAGTGTGTTGGGCTGTGTGTGTGCCAGCGACAGCAAACTGTTGCTGGACTGCTCAGAATGAGAGCTTTAGGGGATGTTGGCTGGGTAAAATACAGCACAACACATAACGCACCCACAGAGAGTGTGTTTGGCTGCAGAGAGCCGGTTCAGAAGTGAGCGCCGGAGTGTATCCCAGCATCTGCCGTCTCTCTCTCCGTAAAGATCGTCGAGCGCCACTCCAGGGAAGCCCCAAAGGCCCAGTTGTTTTTTTAGGAACCTGGTTCATGACATTGCTCTCATTTAACCGTCCCGAAGGCTTTAACCACGGTTAGATAATACGCAAGGTTGTTCTACTAGCAATGACGCTTATTCTAAGCCTCTGGTGCTCTTCACCTGTCGGTCAAAAATGACCAAACTATTTTTTTTTTTTTATTTAAATGAAATTAATGTACTATATTTTAGATCGACTTAATATTTTGTATTTTTTAAGGGATTTTATGGTACTATATTATATTTATGCTGTATTAATAATCCATTTATTCACTTTTTGACCATAGACCTGAACATTGTATTTACAACTTAAACTGGTCATTAATCTTGAATGCTTCAGTAGACTTCAGTTCAGTCTCTTTCTAAGACGATGCTTGGCAGATTATTGCTGAAGTGAAAAAAGTTAAAAAGTGAACTTAAAAAGTGTTACAGAATTTTACGCGTATTGTCACGAATTTTTTTTTATATTTTCAATTTTTATAAAAAATATATATTTTCAAAAACATGTGTTACTCTAGAACTATGAGAAAATCAAAGCCATAAATCTAAACAAGTAATGAGTCTGATCTCAGTAAACTAGCGTTCAGTGTGTGTGTGTTGTGTGTATGTGTTCAGCTGCAGTTCCAAACGCTTCCACTAGAGGAAACTCTCCATTCGTTTCCGACCGCGAAGAGAACAATTAGGACTATTATTTTCAGGACAATTAAACCTGTTAAGAACATGTCCATGTTTTTTGTATGTATGTGTGTGTGTGTGTGTGTGTTCACAGAGCAAGAGCCAAAACCTTTACCTAGTTTTGTACCATTTCGATGAATAAAAAAAATTTAAAAAAAGAAAAAAAGAAATGTAAAATTGTTGGGTCACGGTTAGGGGCGTTTGGAACTGAAGTCTACTGAAGCGCATTCAAGATTTGAGTGCCTTGCAATAATCAAGGAAAAGCCCGTGAATATTGCTAGACCGACCCGTTTCGATAAAGATGAGCAGATTTATGAACTTGTAGCACTTCTGGGCCCCAGAGACGCCCCGCTCGCCCCCCTTGGACTCGCTCTAATTGTTTTTTGTAATCATATTCTCCACTCTGCTATTGTGACAGGAGGCAGTTA